TTTTTATGTTTATTTAGCAGATTTTGTTTCATACCACCCTGTCAAAAATTGTGACAGTTTCAACAGCTATATAAAAAATATTTATTGCAGCTTTAATAAAGTGAAACTCCAAATATGATCTAAAAAAATTAGAAAATAACAGGATTGCAACATCTGCTGTTACATGAATAACTACCTTCCTATTTATTACACAAGCAAGATAAAAAAGTCTAAGATTTCATTAACCAATCGATCTATACATATTCACAATACCTTTTTTAATTCTGCTCCTAAAAATTAACCAAGGAGTGGAAAAACTACAACTGCTACTATAATAAAAACTAAACAACATTTAACCAATAATGACTAATTAAAACCAAACAAATGTCACAACCATATAAAACCAAACTAAAACAGAAAACCTTTAGTTCAATTAATTTTGCCAACAACAAAAATCAGGTTCAAAACGCAAACGAACTAGCCTCGACAATGACCTATGACCCAACGACATCACACATACCACAAAAACTGAGGGTTACATTTTTTCGTTTCTTGCTGCATCACAGCGCATATTGCCACGTGTTGAATACTTCATGTTTAGCGCCACCAACAGGCTTGGAGGAGTAGAAAAACCCAGTATTTTGGTTCATTTCCTGTGTTTTTCCTGTAGATGGAAGCATGTCTGGACCTGGGCGCCCCATGAACATGGCGCCCTGGGCAAAAAGTCACATCTTACCAAAGACAACATCTCAAACCTCATTCATTGATAAAAGTCTTCACTTTTCAGCACTTTGAACTTTTAAGCTGAGATTTGCAACATTTTAAACACAACTGACAAGTTAAGGTTGTCTAAAAATATGGATTAAAACCATGAAACAACAAAATAAGTCATTCAGGTCCAATCAGAACGTTTAGATATTAATGAACAGACAGAATGAAGCCGATAAGTGATCGATAACTTGTCTTTTGTCTCCAGTTCGTGTTAGCTAGCAGAGTTCTGCCCAGTTTGGCCGCACAAAGCGGCTCCTTCTGGCCCACTTTCCCCACAAAACCCAGATTCGGATTAATTCCCAGCCTTTGCTCAACTTTAAACAGAAAGGCCGTTTAAACCCCCTTTGTTTGGTTTGTGTTGAAAGCAACCGGCCACTTTTCGACGCTAACTAGCTTGTCGTTGATCCACACCCTGAAGACGAATATCTTTACTTTCTCCGCTTTTTCCCTTTCTTGACGCTCACTTTGTTTGTTTGTTTGTTTGTTTTAAGTTGCTGTAATCGAGAGAGAGCTGGGTAAATTTAAATTAAAATAACATTACTTACCTTAAGTCGTTGCTTGACGGGGTGTTTGTTGTTGAGTCAGAGCAACATTAGGTCCAGAAAGTGTCCCTTTTTTAACGGATCCTGGAGAAACAACTAGCTAAAACTGTTATCTGGGTTCGCTTTGTTTGACCACCGTGAAGATCAACAATTTAGGGGTAAAAACACAGGAGCAACAAAACTCTTTTCTTTCCTTATAAATGAAGTAATTGAGGATCCAGAATCTGGTTGGGACACGTTGTTGGTCCCAGTATAATACTGGTGGGGCTTTTTCTATTGCCTCACTTCAACAAACCCCCCTATTCTGAAACTAACCCCGCCCACACCGGAAGTACAGCGGCAAGCGGCCTTAAGAAGAACAAACACACCAGCAGAGAATGAACCCTTGCTCACCTCGGATGTGGGGAAAACCGTTTTCATGAGCATGCGCAGAAAACTCAGCTTTAAATTTTCATATTTCTCCTGCAAACTCTGAACTATTTACAACAATACTACACATTAACACAGTAAATACGACCTTTAATAATGTATTGATGAATAAAATACAAAATCAATAAGAGGAAGTTGGAAAGTAGTAATCATTAGGCGATTCTATAATTGCATTTAATGTACAGAGCAATTATTTTTATTATTTAAGTGAATTGAAAAAAAAATGTGGATAATAATATCTAACAAGTTACATTCAATTTCCTTTTATAAGTTGAAAAAACACGACTTCCTGTTATCAGAGTTGGTGCTGTTTTGCTGTTCTCTACCACCAGCATGAAATAACAAGCAAAAACATATTTTTGAATTGCATAATTTAAACTATTTGATTATACTTTTCAGTTATGCATTTCATAATCTTGTCTGTTCTGTCACACCAGGGCTCAGCTCTGTTTGTGGAATATTTTCACAATAAAGAAGAAAATTGTTGTCTTGAGGATAATTAATAATAAGATTAATGTAGCCTGTTTGAAAGTCTGCCAAATATTGTTTATATTAATCTGAAGTTTCTTTTATTAGCCATTTAATAATCAAAAGAAAAGTGTTGCATTATAAATATAAATCCAACACTTTTATTTCAGAAAACTGTTATGACTTCTCACCAGAAGCTGGCACATTATTTCCATCACCACACACTTCTTCTGTGATGTATATCTGATAATTCACTGTAGATTTGACACAAATTAGAGTCCCTAAAACATTAAAGTTTTTCAAGAAGAAAAGAAAAACAATGCTTGCGTTATTGCAAGCCATTACAATAATAAAATTCCTCGTTAATAATCAAGAAGTCAAAGATCAAGAAGTAATTTTCACACTTAAAGAATATTTATTATCCGTTGAGATCAGATGATTAAATTAATGAAACCCTCAAGCCACTTTTAAGGAGGCTGCATTGCAACACAGTGGATTATTGCGACAGTGGATTTAATCTCAGTGAGATTAAATATCTATGAGAAAGTGTACTGAGGTCGGAAACCTCAACCAAACAGAAGCTGGAATGACTGCAATTCACATCAGACTCAGGTTGAAGACACTATAAGATACACTATTTCAGGTATATTTTTATAACTTTGAGTCACCTATCTTTATGTTTTCCTTTTGGCATTTTTGTAAACTTTAATGTAAAAATAAATAAATGAATAAAAACAAGTCCAAAAGAAACTGAAATGACCAAGACAGCCTTCAAGAATTTAATGTTGCCCAAAACTTTTATACATTACTGTCAATTATCTTAAGATCTATAATTTTAAAAAAATGCAGTGTTGCATTTTTTATTGCAACACTGCCACCTTGTGGCCAAAGAGGCGAACAGCAGGCGATGCACTTGACAGCTGTTAACTCTCGTAAAATTAAACAAAATATTAATCATGATCACAGTTAAAAACATATATATAACATGGCAAAATTTCCACACAATTAAATTGTACATGATTAAACGTATCTAAAGTATATATTAAAATGTAATACTTGTAAAGAAAACATGATGATATGATGCTTTTAGTTACAGAAAGGCAACAGGTAGAAAGAGCAATAACAATAACTGATTAAGCAATAACAATGAGACAATTTTTTTTTGATTAAACAAAATAAGTTTGAAGGATGAATAAAAAACATATTTTGACAAACTTCACATCTATGATGTTTATTTGAAGAAAATTAAAATAAAGGAGAATATTTTTAGTAAAAATCACTGGATTGTTCCTGATTGAATTACATCTGATTGGGTTGTATTTGGAGATTAATTTTAATTCAGCCTTTTGCTTATTTCCTTGTTTTAAGAAGGAAAACCACATTACTTCAGTCAAACAAAGTTATGAATTTTTGTAAAGGGATGTGTAAATTATTGTACAGTTTTGAAGGTTTGCCTAAATAATAAACAGCATTCACTTTCAAATTTATTTATTTTAACTGAAAATATTCATTAAATAAAGATTTAATTGAGAGTGCTATTTTTCAATTCGCAGCACAGACTTCCAACAGATGTACTTCATAATTATGCCATTAGTAATAATTAACAAAACCTGGCAGGATACATTGAAAATGCAATCTAGGACCAAATGTGAGGTGATAGAGATAATAAAGGTGTTGTTTCTGACTAAAATCATGCTGTTAAACACCATCTGTTTTTATAAAACTGCAGTTTTAATTAACTCTAGTGTAGAGCGCACCTGTAACTACAGCCATGATGAAAAGAAAGTACGCCCCTTTAATGGTTTTTAGGGTGTATTTTTATTTTAATTCTATAATAAGCAACAATATGGTGTCTGTGTTTCTATATTTTTTATGTACTTGAGGTTAGATTTTAATAGTTTTAGTGTCAATAGTGGCTAATCCAGATAATTCATTTTGTAAACCAGAGAACTGATAATGGAAATTTTCTTTTGATTACAAGTATAAGCCTAAATTTAAGCATTCAGTGCACAAAAAATTATTAAACATAATTACACATATGTTTCTTAAATTATGTAGCCCAATGTTATGAATATTTGTGATATTACTTTGTTCTGAAATTTTCCCAGCTGAAAAACATAATTTAACAGGGTAACAAGAAATGACACAGTAGAATGCTCAGTGCTAACAATAACAATAATGTTAACTGCATGCTAACTATTGTTAGCATGCCAACAGGAATCAAAACATATTAAGTGAAGAAAAACTTTTTACTGCCCTATTCTTTTACTCTCATAAGGGACAACTCTTTATTTTTTTGTCATTGCCAATGACAACAAAACTGGCTAACTCTTTATGCTAACAGTAACTGCTAATATTAGCGTAAACATGCTATTATAGAAGTTATAATAAAATGTCTTATCTATCCTCTATTGGCTGCTTTTAATGTATTAAGTGATAATTAGTGAAAGATCAAAGCTGAAAATTCCAACTCTACAAACTAAATAGCATGCTAACAGTAAGAGCAACCAAAATTAGCATTATCATGCTAGCATCATAGCAGTACGATGTACTGTGCAAACTGTGTTGACAGCTTAGACTTGGAGATGGAAGATCAAGCAAAAATATTTGGTTAAAACCATTAAAAAATCACAAACATTTATACTTGATGGCATCATTTGAGCATAAAGTGTTGCAAAACATGAGCTAAATTATGCTAGCGTAAGCTAACACATTTTTACTATACAGTGTTTGGTAATTAGTGAAAGGCTGGCTGGTTCCAGAAATTTAAATTTTGGGTAAAATCTAAAAAATAAAACAGACCAGAGTAAGTTTTATTTAAAACATTTATTTGACCCAATTCTTTGGAATGTAATAGTCAGTGATGAGAGTCTGAAACAACAGAGATGGATGAGTCGGTGTGGAGCAGAAAGTCAAAGTACAAACAATACTTTAAGTCACATAAGGCCTCACAGCTTTCTGATTCTTTTTACTTCCTTGTTTTCCTTTGTTTTTTTTTTTTTTTTTTAGACAAGAAAACTACAGAAACGGTACAGAAAATAAAACGCTTTCTCTTGTCATCCAAAGAAAAACAGAAGAAAACAATGGCACGTACATCAATGACGGTACAAAAAACACAAGGTGATATACCAAGTAAATAAAATCGTTATCGTATATAAGCTTTTTCGAGAATGAAAAACATCTCTGTAAATTGTACAATTCATAATTATACCATGGCCGTCTAAAACCATGTTAAAAAGAAGCAACAATAACACTGTCCTCTCCGTCTTTCCTCCTCTCTTTTCATAAATCAACATCATAAACACATAGATTTTTTCTTTTTTAAATATATCAGTGCAACATTTGTTTTCAGGACGAGTGCTGCAGCATCCTTTTCCTTTAGAAGAGTCCGGCTGAAACATCAGACATTCCTATGGAAGAGGAGAAAATACATTGTGATGTGTATTTATCATTTATATCTGCTCATGAACACAAGCTGCTGAATGACAGAACAGCTTTTCTCCCAGAGTTTTCTTTCAATTGTAAAGCAACATTCCTCAACATTCAAGATAATATGAATGCAATAAAGAAATTACGCTTAAATAAAATCTGATTATTTGCTCAGCTGAAATAAAACAACACACATTCAGGATTTTCTTTTTCAACCAAATGGAAATGTTCATATCTGTTCTTTGGAGAAGGAAATAGTCTATTTTTCTCACAAGGAGTGGTTCTTCCTTAAATCTTCAAAAATGATCATTTTTATGTCAAAAATTAAGTTAAATGATCCCTATAGTGAAGAAGAACTGTGTCAAAAGGTGGAAAAAAAGGGAGTAATGGAAAAGGCTTCCCCCAAACTTTTCCAAAATCATCTGAAATTATGTCATTGAAGAAACAAAAACCCAGAAATTTGTCCCCCAGGTGATTCTGAATCCCAATGCTTTTCCAGGCTTCCAGGCTTTTTTGGTGCCTCTAGTAGCTGAGTTTCAATGGACCATGGAATTACTCAAATAAATTTCCTCAATGGGAACACGCTAATTTTGGAAATGGGGTTTTCAGCAGTATCTGAATTCTGTATTTCACAAAACTGCAATGGAAACACTTTATATGGATTAAAGAAGTTTCTATCCAGCTGCTTATTTGTAGCCATTAGACTCCTTGGACAATGTGACCATCAAGACACTCGAACTGCTCTGCTTATGGCAGACTGGCACGGATCAGTGGAGATTGGTACGCCATTTTGTCTGTTTACATTGTAAAAACGGCCCATAGACCCGACCCGTACTGAACTATTCCTCGGCCGCCTGCAGTTGTAGGTCCATAGGACAATGGTACGTTACAGTTAGGTTGGAGATACTGGAATCAGGCAACACAGTCCATTGATTGGGGGACAGAAAAGCATCACTGCTGACAGGCACGAGACGCGTTGTTGTCCTACTAGTAGGACGGTACGTTAGACGTTTGGGTTTAACCCCACTTGTCCAGTAAGAGTCCAACTGGCAGAGGAAACGGTCTCTTGAGACCCAGATGTTCCCAAACCAGGTAACCTAGTCTTCTTAATACACCTTTGCCTCGTTTCCGCTGAGAGGTATGGGATGGGTCGGCACGGTTTGGTTTGATGTTTTTTGTCTGGTCCAAATGGTGGTGGAAACGATCTCTTGAATACACATAAAACATAAAACTGCAGACAACAGGATCTGTGGCGAGACGCAGCTGTAATGCTAACAATACAGACAAAAGCTCTTGCTTTGGACTGAAAGGACTGGGCCGCCCATAAAAAGCAAACCTGGTGTTCTGTATTCCAACAAGATTAATCAAAGGGACATACGTAAGCGCTCTTTTGATCCATGAAACACAAATGAACTGGACAACCCAATCAACTTTGTGAAGGTAAAGATGGGCAGCAGGAAAGTCTAAAACAACGATTTCCCAGAAAACAATGAAAATTAGTTAAAATTCAGGATCTGTAATGCAAATTAAGTCTAAATTTGCATTACAAAGTCATGCAAATTTAAATCAGTCATTTACCTTTCTGAAAAGAATGTTAACTCAATGTGTTGTTTCATTATCACCAGAGTTTCTGCAGCTGCCTTGCATTGCGGCGGCCATGTTGTTACATCCAGGTCCATGTAGTTTGTATTCTGGTACCTCAACATTACATTCACACAAAATGAAGCCTTGGAGGCAGTTTAACAATGTGTCCAGCCAGATCCAAGTGTAATCAATGAAACCCCTTTGACTTTCTGTCACTGTAGCTGCTGAGGTTGTGTTTTTACCCTGTTAAGACATAAATTCCCTTTCATTGGTGCATTTTCTCCTCTGAATCTCCAGGGATGGTAAACATCCTTCAGAGACTGGTGTGAACACAGAAAGGATACTGCAGCACTGGCGTCTTCCTCTATAGAAAAGGGCGTTCAAATATATATTAAAACCTATGTACAATACGTTGGATGTGTCATGTGCCATGAATATGAGGCATTCAGGGCTCCTACACATTTACCATATTGGGAATTTTCATAGTTTTCTTCAGTTCTGCGGATATAAACCTGGAACTCAACAGCTGAGTGAATGCCAGTGCAACCAGATGCTGTTTTATGGTAAAATTACAGCAATAAAAAGATGCTGCTTTACAGACACAGTCTGGAAACCTTTCCCCGTAGTTTGTATAAGAACCCTGGACAGAATGCCAGCCGATGGGAAAACAACCAGCAGAAAACAAGGCAACAGAAAAACAGGAAAAGAAAGGCACTGTCGGAGCAGGTCAGTGGTCCTGCGTCAAGATCACACACACACGGTTTGTATCGTCAGACACAACTCAGATGCGGATGTATATGAGTGAGACGTCCACACACACTTGCACACGCGTTAAGCTAGCTTCGCTCATTCTTCAAAACATTCGAACAAAAAGACGAGAAAAACCACAAACAGAAACATTAAATCTTTCTGCAAAAGTTCACTAATGATACTTTCGTCTGAATTGGTCTCAACACCAGCATGTGATTACATAAAATCAACAAAGCACGCCGAAAAACAAAGAGAATCCTTAGTTTTCTTCTTTTTTGCTGTACAGGTTCTTTATACACAGTGCCCCCTACAGGTGAGTCCCTTCCACCAACGCTCCTGAGAAATAAAAATGAAATTGGCTCACTGTTAGCCCACCCTGCCGTCCCATTAGTGGCTTCAGCCCCGTGATTGGCTGCTTGTAACGTGTCCGCTAGCGGAGCTGCCAAAGCTCTGGCCCCTGAGCCTTCATGCCTCTGAGTAGTTGTTCGTCTGTCCGTTTATCTTGTCCTTCTTTAGCTTGACGCCGTCCACCAGCTCAAAGTTATAGTTCTCCAGGGCGGATAAGTTCCTGTCGGTCATGCTGCCCTGCGAGCAAGCGCAGTACAGCACGACGCCGCAGATGGCGCCCAGGAAGACGCCCAGAGCCGACATGGCGATGATGGTGATGAGGATGGGGTCTATCGTCTTCAGCATGTTGCCCGGCCGGCCCAGTTCACCCGTTTCCTGAGAGAGGGAGTCCATGGCTGCAAGGGACAAGAAGACGTTTCAATTAGATGGTGGAGATCAGGAAATATTTTCAACTAACTCAGTAATTATGGGTATTAACTAGTTACATGGAGAAGCAGTATTCAGCTTCTATGCACCACAAATTTGGAACAAATTTCCAGAAAATTGTAAAACAGCTGAAACACTGAATCCTTTAAGTCAAGACGAAAAACCCAACTGTCTAGAGTTGCTTTTAAAACATTATGAAAGAAACATTAACCAATATTTTGAAAACTGGTTCTACAGAAGAACCGGTTCTTGTAATGTTGAGCCAATGACCGCACTGACATTGCTGCTTTTTCTTCATTACAAGACAGACTGACTCCTAATATCATTCATTTGCTTAATCTTCTTCCAGCCTCTCCCTCAGACTCACTTTGCTATTCAAACACGCCTTGAAGCTGGGAGGAACCAGCAGCTGAAGGTGAAACCTGATTGGCTGCAGCCTCTCTGCACTGAGATGTGAGTCACAGATCAGAGCTCAAACTGGTTGCTGTTTTCAGTAAACTCACACAGACACTGTAAATAAGAGCCAGAATGGAGCACAACCAGCTGGATCAAGAAACTTTATGCTGTTCAATCTGTTTGGATCTACTGAAGGATCCGGTGGCTATTGCCTGTGGACACAACTACTGTATGAACTGCATTAAAACCCACTGGGATGAAGAGGATGAGAAAGGAATCCACAGTTGTCCTCAGTGCAGGGAGACATTCACACCGAGGCCTGTGCTAAAGAAGAACACTATGCTAGCAGCTTTAGTGGAGCAGATGAAGAAGACTGGGCTCCAAGCTGCTCCTGCTGATCACCGCTATGCTGGACCTGAAGATGTAGCCTGTGATTTCTGCACTGGAAGAAAATTGAAAGCCATCAAGTCCTGTTTAGTCTGTCTGGCCTCTTATTGTGAGAAACACCTTCAGCCTCATTATGACGTGGCTCCTTTAAAGAAACACAAGCTGGTGGAACCGAACAAGAACCTGCAGGAGAACATCTGCTCTAAGCATGGTAAGGTGATTGATATCTTCTGCCGCACTGATAAGAAGTGTATCTGTTATCTCTGCACTATGGATGAACATAAAGGCCACGACACAGTGTCAGCTGCAGCAGAAAGGACTGAGAGGCAGAGAGAGCTGGAGGAGAGACGAGGAAACATCCAGCAGAGAATCCAGGACAGAGAGAAAGATGTGAAGCTGCTTCAGCAGGAGGTGAAGGCCATCAATCACTCTGCTGATAAAACAGTGGAGGACAGTGAGGAGATCTTCACCCAGCTGATCCGTCTCCTCCAGAAAAGAAGCTCTGAGGTGAAGCAGCAGATCAGATCCCAGCAGGAAACTGAAGTGAGTCGAGTCAAAGATGTTGAGGAGAAGCTGCAGCAGGAGATCACTGAGCTGAAGAGGAAAGACGCTGAGCTGGAGCAGCTCTCACACACAGAGGATCACAACCAGTTTCTCCTCAACTACCCCTCACTGCCAGCACTCAGTGAGTCCACACACTCATCCAGCATCAACATCCGTCCTCTGAGACACTTTGAGGACGTGGCAGCAGCTGTGTCAGAGCTCAGAGAGAAACTACAAGATGTCCTGAGAGACTCATGGACAAACATCTCACTGATGGTCACTGAGGTGGATGTTCTACTGTCAGAACCAGAACCAAAGAGCAGAGCTGATTTCTTGAGGTATTCATGTGAAATCACTCTGGATCCAAACACAGTAAATGCAGAGCTGTTACTATCAGAGGGAAACAGGAAGGTGACACTGATGGGTCAATCTCAGTCTTATCCCAGACATCCAGACAGATTCAGTCATTACTATCAGGTTCTGAGTAAAGAGAGTCTGACTGGACGCTGTTACTGGGAGGTGGAGTGGAGAGGAGGACCAACTATCATCGGAGTCACATACAAGAATATCAGCAGAGTAGGAATAGGAAAGGAATGTTTAATTGGAGATTATGGCAAATCGTGGGCATTAAATTGTCATCATTCCAAATTTGGTCACAACAACATCTGGACCTCCGTCTTAGGTCCGGTTTCCTCCAGAGTGGGAGTGTACCTGGATCACAGAGCAGGTATTCTGTCCTTCTACAGCGTCTCTGGATCCATGACTCTGATCCACAGAGTCCAGACCAGATTCACTGAACCTCTACTGGCTGGAGTTTATGTTTATAACACTGGATGTTCTGCCGAGTTCTGTAAACCCAACTAGATTTTCTCTCTGATCGCTGATCAGGGTTCATTATTCTGATGTCTGTTCTACTGTTTTGTTGCTGATTTTTATGGTTTAAGGGTATTAAGTGAAGAAAACCACTGCTGATGTTTTCTTTCATTCTAACATAACACAAGAAAATCTAAACTTCTCTGGGATCTCATAGTTTTGCTTTCATATTTCTGTTGAGCTATTAGGATGTTGTTGTTGTTTAAATCAACTGAGATTGAAATGAACTGAACTTACTTCATGTTGATTTCTTTATTGTGAGTCAAAGAAACTACCATAAACTTAGAACTGTTTTCTTGTAAATCTTTATGTCAATATCAGTAAAATAAATGTCTGCTGTTGTGTCTCTTTGGCTTTCTTCAATAAAGCAACTTGATTACAGAAACACTTTGACTTATTTTTCTTAATTTTTTACGTGTTTTATCGTCTAAAGTGCAGAAACATTTCCTTCAGAAGGGGTCAGGTGATGCAGGAGAAGAAAAAATCCACATCTAACGTACACAGCAACAATCTGACCTGAGTTAAAATGGATTACATTTATTTTTAGGATCAAGTTCCCGTCCTGGAAAGTTGTGCTAGTTTATGCCTGGATGGATGATTGGATGGAAGAATCATTGATTAGATAGAATCACCAAAGAAAAATCTCAAAACTTTAGCAGAAATCATGGAGAAGTATTGATCAAAGAAATATGGAAAGAAATGACTCAAAACTTTTGCCCAATCCTGTCTATTGAATAAGGAGCATACACAAGGTCATAACAATTAAAAATATTATGTATTTGCACATTTGCTGAGACTCTGCAAAGACGTTCTTGGTTTAAAATGAAACATTTTACTCACAAATGTGTCAAAATAAACATGACCAGGAAGTGAAACACACGTCACTTACGTAGCATTAAGATCTTAGTGGGTGGAGATGTTGGAGCTTCTGGATCTGGAGACAAAAACAAGAATTAAGAACAAGTTAATCCAGTTCCTGAAGGTTTATTCCTCCGTAATACTGCTAACGTATTATCAATGCAAACCCTTGCAGTCCTGAATGTTGAGCTCGTCCATGATTTGGATGTCATCCACCGCGATGTGGCCTGTGCTGCGTCTGTCTGCGATTCCCTCCACCAACACCTGGAAACGGCAGCAAACAGGAAGTTCAATCCACAAATAAACAAGCTTTTCGAGTGGTGCTGAATGGCCTTTTTAAAGAGGCACTTTGACAAAGTCTTTTTCGGTCTAGTTTCTAGTGCAGATATTATAATTAATATGAATAAAGACTAAACTAATTTACAAGACAATTGTCAGCAAGACATAGGAGCTTGTTTTATGTCAATAATTCCTAAGTGAAATGCCAAAGGAACAAGGTCATTTTAAGTTAAAATTACTTCTTCCAATGGTAGATCATTTCTCTTACAACCAGTACATCTTAATCAATATTTTGAGTTAGTTTTGTCAAACTAAACCAAAAACCTTAGATAAGAGTTTGTTTTTTGCAGTGTAGAGGAAACCCTGGATGTCTGTAAAAATGACTTGGTCCATAAATTTCGCTTGTTTCTGATCCAAATGTCAGTCCATCCATAAGTTAATGATGTTGTAACTGGCAGAAACGTCTCAGGCTGAGCCTCTTTTTGTTTCCGTCAACACAAACCCGCCATTTTCATTTTCCTCAGCTGCTGCAGACGCTCCTTACTTGATAAGAGAGTCTTGTTTGAGGAAGTAAGACACGGCCTTCCCTCCACCTGCTGCCCTGATGGCCGCTCTTCATCCACAGGACCTGGACCTTGTCGTCGTGGTCGTGGCGATAGCTGATGTGGAGCGCCCCTCCGCGCTCGGCGGCCATCTGGTACCAGAAGGACATGCAGAGGCTGGCGTCCGACGTGCTGATGGATAAACTGACCAGCCGGGCCACCTTCTCCTCCCTGCTCTGCTCCTCTCCAGGCTTACTGGGTGTGATTGTGTCTGTCAGCTGCATGTAGATGAAGTTCCCTGAACCGCCTGCAGGGGGCAGCAGAACACAAACCATGGCAGACAGAGATGAGCTGCAGAAGAGGCTTCATGAATGAAACATGCAAGTTTTTGTTCCTTCATATTTCTCAGTGAGAAAAAGGCGCTTTATAAAAAGCCCACAATGCTCTCAAGGGTGTTCTGGTCAAAGAGTCTTTTCACTTTTCGAATATCTGCCTCAAACACTCCGAAGACATCAAGGACTTCACAAGGTTTTTCAGGGAAAACAAAGGATCGGGTATCAGGAGAAAGTCAGCCCTGCCGTCATAAAGAGCTCATTTTTTTACTTGTGATCTGGTTAAGTCAAAGAATCAAGGAGAAATCATTCATTTCGGCGCTGCTGTCGCCTCCACGCAAACATCCATCAAACCCATCCAATGGAGAAGAAGGCCAGAGAGGTGAAGCATGCTGATGGATTTCTGTGTTGAGATGTTTTTCAGAAAAAAAGTCGAACACTTCAAGGTTGTTTCATTGCTTAGAGAAATGTTGAAAGGCTGCGAACTTCTGAAGGTTCGCTCTGTTCAGCATCCTGCTTATTATCAGGAGTTTTAAACCTCTGGATTTCTGAAAGCTTTCAGCTGCTTTACAGACAGGAAGGAAGATTTTATAGGAAAATCTCTCATTGTGGAGGTTATTGTCATCATATGTAATTTATGATAACTACATTACCATAAATAACTTCAACCTGGACAGATTTTCAATCAACACATGACTAAAATTACACATAAAGCCTTAACTATTTGCATTTTAAAAAGGTAAAAAATGTCCCATTTTATCCACAGTTTTCATTCCACGCCGTCGTTTTTTACTTTTAAATAATTGTAAACAAAACCTTAAACTGCTGTGGCACAAGTTACGCAACAGGCTGTTGCTCTGTAACCAAAGAGTGGAGAGAGTTAGTTGATGTGAGACGTTGAGCTTTTATCTCCCAGAATGCTGTGTGGTTCTGGATTGGAGTTCAGTGAACGAGTTATCTGTTGATATTGCTCACGTTTGTATAACCTCATCGATTTATTGCTCAACTCCATGAGAAGGTAACCTTTAAATTCTCAAAAAGTAATCTGTTCGCTACAGTTTAGTATGTTGTTGGTCGTGAGAAACAGAAAGTTCAAGAAAGAACCTGAAACCTTTATTGATTGCAGGAAACCTCATATTCAAGAAAGAAAGTTCTGGAAAGGAAAACTGCCGATGTCGAACCAAAGAAAACAATCTCTAAGTACTGGAAAGCAACCTGTATTTTCAGAAAACAGATAGTTATAGAAAGTGACACATTAGGTTCTGGTACTCTGCAGGTCCTGGGAAAACAAGCTCTGGGATAGAATCACGTAGATCCTAGAAAGTCGTCAAACGTTTCTGAAAACCGATAGTTGAAGAAAAGTTTGATGTAAGTTCTGGAAAGCAACCCGTAAGTCACAGAGAAGTTCTCTGTAGGTTCCATATGGTTTCCATTTGCCAGAAAATAATCTTAAAGTTCCCAAGTGTAAGTTTTGTGTTCCAGGAAAGAAACTCTCGTAATCCTCGCATTGATTATTGGTCAATTGGTCACGTTGAAAATGTGATTTTTTACACCAACATTCTATCATAATCACATCACCAATGAGAAGTTTAGAGATTTAACTGAATGTGAATCATTTCACTGCAGAAGAAATTGTTCAAATAAATCATTAAAAACCTGAAATTTTTACTATATCTGAGTGTAAACTCTGACCAGAGCTGTTTTTATGTGGTGACAGAAAAAGTAATGCTGTTGTTTTCCTGCTGCTTTGGGAATAAAATGTGTTATTTAAAGATTTTATGAACATGCTTTGCTCAGCAGAGTCCTATGGCTCGTTCCAGGAGGATATTTCATCCTGGAATAAACTTCCATCCATTCATTTTCTGAGCACCCTTAACGGGTCGGGAGTTGCTGGTGCCGATCTCCAGCTGCGTTCTGGGCGAGAGGCGGGGTTCACCCTGGACAGGTCGCCAGCCTGTCGCAGGGAATAAACTTTATTATTATTATTTATGTGTGGCCTACCTGTGTGGTCGAGCATCGGGCCTCTGTGGACCGGAGCCTCGCTGCTCTGGATGAACCACTCGGCTCCTGAGCCGCTGTCCTTCGTCCAACCGCATAACGACGATAAGTCGAAGTTACAGGCAAACCAAACGTAAGCTGAAAGGCAAAACAAAAAGCCATTTGAATCTAAACATTGACCTGAGTGAGCCTGTCATAAAATAGAAGTTATTGCAACAAACGACAACGTTGATGTTTTCAGATCATTTTTAATGGTAATGGCATAATAATGGAAAAACACACTGTCAAAGATAATAAACTTTAAATTCTAATGAACATTTTACACTGGAACTGGAAGACATTTTAAATATCCAAAATAAATAAGCAAAAAAATAAAAAAGAGCAACAAATGAAATGAATAATGACGTCTCTGTAAACAAATTTGTTCTTCAAAAAGGCCAGGATGTCTGAAATCTTTTATCATCCAGTTGTTGGTAAATAAATGGAAATTATTGAGTTTGTTTTAACTTATCACGTAATTAATAGATTACATGATAATCAAATTTGTGTCATTTTTGAATTGCAGTTTTGGACCACACAAAATTAGTCCAAAGGCCAAAAAAGGCCCCTGGGCCACACTTTGAACACCCCTGACTTACTGCTTATTGCATATCTTAAATATAATCACTGATAAAGAGAAAATGGACAGTTTTGTTGATGAACTTTACTTTCTGTTTGTTGGTTTTCAAACATTTAAAATGCACCAAAGCTTTGAGGAAACACCAAGTGATCTTCATAAAGAACAACTCTGAAAGAAAACCTTAAGGAGTTGATTATCCTTCAGCTGAATCCCAAGTATTTTATTAACTAATGAGCTCCCCTCTCAAACAAAGCTCCCCCATCTGCTCCAGTAAAACCTAACAGGAAGCCCAGGCAGGGATTACTAGGAGCTTCCTGGAGCCAAGCATCATATAGTAACTTTATAAAGTTGAATACTCCAATCTCACGCTGTGTTTACCAACTCGTTTAATTCTCTCAGGTGGAGAATGCCTCAGGATTTTGTGGCATCTCTATTAAAAACATGTGTACTCAGTTGTGTGTATTTATTCTCCAGAACAAAACGCTCCGACCAGGGATGGGTACTACAAGATGCTGCCATGTTTGAACCAGGTTGAAAACCTCCAAATTGATCAGGTTTCACTGTTTTATGTCTCTACGAGAAATCCTTACTTTTAAGCTTCATTTAATGTCTCCACTAACTGCTGGGTGGTTTGGGAACTGAATTTGACTTGGTTGCTAGTTCATTGCTAAGCTAAAATATAAATGTTCCCTGGGGTAAAACGGCAGCCATACATAACTACATACCTACATGTAGTTATAGTAGTTTGTAGTTATATCAGTTCGTCTGCTAACTAAAAGCTTACCTGCAGACAAACAATAGCTCTGCTAATGCTAAAGTGCTGCCCCATCGTCACATTTAGTGGAGCTAATGCTAAAGCGCTAACTTCAATTCAGATTACATGTGCCTGTGAAAGACTGCAACCTTATATAATGTGTCAAATCCCCTTTAGTTACAATGTAACACCGAGTCTTGTGGTTTTTGTTGACATTATCGCCCAGGCAACCGTTACTATAGCAACTGTGAACAGTCCAAATACGTAAAACCTCGAGCATCAATTTTAAATCTGAGAGTTTAATTTGCATGTTCTGAAATTCCCTTCGCTGTTGTATTGATGTTTCTCCACTGTCCGTGTTTTATTTGCCCCTGTCGGCTTCTTGCTTGAAATAAAGTTATTTTGCGGAGGCTAATCTAGCGCCACAGAGTCAGATTAGCTAATCTAACGCCGCAGAGTCAGATTAGCTAATCTAACGCCGCAGTTAGATTAGCTAATCTAGCGCCACAGAGTCAGATTAGCTAATCTAATGCCGCAGAGTCAGATTAGCTAATCTAACGCCGCAGAGTCAGATTAGCTAATCTAACGCCGCAGAGTTAGATTAGCTAATCTAACGCCGCAGAGTCAGATTAGCTAATTTAACGCCGCAGAGTGAGATTAGCTAATCTAACGCCGCAGAGTTAGATTGGCTAACAGCAGCAGGAGCTAATCTACCAAAACAGTCACTTATTAATGATCTCAAAACCAACGTCAAGCCTGAAAACATGACTGGATGTTCGGTTCTTGATGTTCAGCTCAGTTGCTGAATCCTGTTTCAAAAGGTGGCGTTGTTGTCAGTTTCTATGGCAACCGGTCTGTGTGTAGCACAGCTGACACAGGGAGTGAGAAATATGTGGTTTTCTGAATTATTTTCTGTTTTGGTGAACTGCACTGAATCAATAATACCTTCATGTTTCAGGTTTCATTTTGTCAACATAAGCGTTCTGCGGCTAGTAAAAAACAACATCGGCGTTTTGCCCTCCAGCGTTGTGCGCAGGCGCAAAATATCCTTGTTCCTGAAATGTGCTTCACAAATAACCTTGACTTGACATTTTCTACTCCCTGACGTAGCCTCTGAGTTATGAAAAGTAAACGGTAATCTATCTGACAGTAAATTGTGCCACTACCTGAGAAACACTTTTAGGAAGATTCCCCAAACTGCTTGGGATCAGGTTGGGTTCATGCATGTGTCTGGCAGTGGAGAGGCGCCAGCAGTTCAGCCGCAGCATTCAGATGCATTCAGTGGTCTGTGAATTTGACATGTTTTTTTTTTACAGGCTAATAGGATGCAGAGACGACTGTGGAGCTGCACTGGCAGACCCCAAACTGCCTTGTGTGATGCTTCAGCTCAGCTAATTGAGACCCAGGAGGCTTTTATTCTTTCTCTCCAGGAGAAATCCTCCCTCCATTCTTCTCTTTTATTATCCCCCCTTTTTTCTTTCGGTTTGTTTTTCCCCCCAGTCTGGCTTCTGTGACGGATGAACTTTTCCCACTAAAATCTTCCAGTTTAGGCCACAAAATCTGGTGTATTTAAGGGAGAGGAGAACTTTTACAAGGTTCTGCAGTGGTTAAATGTAGGTATTTCTGCAGTTTGTTAACATTTTCTTTACATTAGCTTGATTTCTTCTTTTTGTTGACTTTTGTTCAGAATTTTTTGGATTAACAATCATTTTTGGACAAATGTTCCCCAATGGCTTTGGATGCCGTGCAGCTGGAAGGATTTTTGCTCCATCTTTTAAGAAATAAAATAAAATAAAATCTTTGGACCATTTCTAGTTTACGTAGCCATGGCAACCGGGTGTCTGTACAACAGCTGTTTAGCATCTAAAATGGTTAAATACAACCTGAACGACGAGCAAAGAGCAGGAAGTTCAAACCAGCTCTAACATCCTTCATATCCCCTACTCCAACATCTCTCATATATCACCAAACTTATAATATAAGACAAATAAATCTAAGCATGTTTAGTGGTTAAATTAATTTGAAAATCATAAACTTTGAGCAGATTTCATCATTTTATATATAATTAGCTTTAGTTAAAAATGATGTAGCTTGACCTGCGATGTGACAGATTTTATAGGACAGACTTTGTAAACATGGAGGAACGTTTTGGAGAATATCCTCACCTGGAATGTCAACATTGGGGTTGGGGGTCATGACGATTCCTGTTACAGACAGATGGGACGGTCAGGGTTAGGTCAAAGGTCAGAAAGACACGTCCCAACCACACACATGTCAACACAAACACAAAATACCTGAATCTCAACAAAAAACAAGAACATAATAATTCAGTTTCCTAATCAAGGCCTCCAATACTGAATGGTCAGAATAATCTGATAGTTAAATTCATAATTGAGTCCAAAATAACTTTTTTCAGCTGAAATATGTGTTGCTCATGTTCAAAAATAAATAAGATGCAGATTTTCCTTCATAATTTGAGGAAAAGTTTAAGTCTAAGTGGGAGCTGGATTTCATAGTTATTTAAAAAATAATATATACAATATTCACAACAAATTTAATCTAAAAGCACTTAAAAACAACTTAAATCATTCATACATTGCAGTTCACCGTAGTTATCAAACAGAACAAAAAGCTCAATTAATTATTCAAATAATATTTATCTAAGTTATTGGAGAGAAATAAAAATCTGCAAATGTTTAAAGGAGCAGCTCTAAAAGGGAAAGTTGTGTTTTTATTATTTTTAACAATATAATTTCTGAACTTTTAAACAAAAGTTCAGTCCACAACCAACATTCTGGATATAAAATAAAATAAAAGAAGAGAAAATAAAATTAAGACAGTAACGGTAATAAAACAAGAACACATGTTAAAAATAAAGTATAAACTAAAAGTACTAAAAACTATGCCTAGATAAAGTGTCACTCTGTTAAATATTAGTTATATAAATTAATATTATTAATATTCCATTCCACAGATTAATTTCAGTTGGTTACGTTTCTAAAATTGCATGAATGTGTCCCATACTTCCTTAAATGTACTGGTGTTTCCTCTGACCATGCATTTTGATTTGTCCGTGTCATCCTACCGAAATGTTCGTTGTAGACCAGAGTGCTCTCCGTTTCGGAGTCCTGCTCCCTTTCCTGGCACTCCGGACACGACATGGTGGTGGGATGCGTGGTCGGCGCTGCGGTGGTGGCACCGAACGTGGTCATGGGCGGCGTGGTGGACGGCGCGCTGGTGGTGGGAGGCCCTGTTGTGGTTTTCTCTGGAAAAACAAATTAAAAAAATATTGCATTTTGTACAAAAGACTAAAAGCGCTGAACTCACAATTTAGGTTGACAAAAACTTTCAGAAATGTGTTTTTTTATGTAGCAGAAGTCACAAAATATCTCATATTTACTTCAATTTGCATCGTGAAAGATTTAGAAAGTAAATCGTAAACTAGAGCTGAAACGATTAACTGTGATTAATCGACTATGAATCAAATAATTAAGTTATCGATTAATTGCTAACTGAAGTATTCGGAGTACAGATACAAAATATACACATTTTACACTAAAGATAAAAAAAAAAACTGTATGCATATGTCAGTTTTTGATTCACCACGTTCAAATTAGGCAAAAAGTCCAATTAAGCATCTTTGGCCATCCAATTATTAATTGATTAATAAAAGAATAACCAGCAGATTAGCCCTAAGCTTCGCTGATGTTAAGTAAAGCAGGAAAGACTAAAGTTTTTTTATGTACCGATAAATGTCAATTTTTAAGCGGCAAGCGTTCCATAAAAAATAAGCTATATTATATATTATTGCATTTTAGACAATAAAATATTAATTTTCTTATTCAAAAAAGGAATTATTTGTTTATTTGTATCTTAATGTATTTCTATTATTGACGGTAATATAACGTGTTGTTGTTGATACATGGACTGGAACATGACTGAAGTTAGTGCTTTAGCATTAGCAGAACTAATGTTTATAGTTAGTGCTTTAGGGTTAGCTCATTAGTTAGCTTTGGTTTTTAGCTGCCTCTAAATTACAAATGTACATCTGTGCTCTAAAATGTAAGTTCTTGCAAACCATTTAGGGTTAAAAATGTAATTTATGAACTGAAGAACACGTAAGATGCAGAAAGTATGCGGTAAGTTCTGGTAAAGTGTTGGGTAGGAAACATCATGTCAAAATCATCAGGTCAAAAGTACTACTAGGATTTTAAACATTTTCTAGATTATAAGAAAGATATCTAGTTTTCAAATTCTTTCAGCTGAACAAATGTATTCTCAATAAAAGAAGACTTGGGTCACTTTCTTCCAAAGCGGTGTTAGTGAGTTTAACAAAATAAATAAAAGCTGATTTGGGTGAGAAAAGTTATCAGTAAAAGGCTCTGGATTAATTTGGTTCTTCTTATTATGATAGTTTGTGATATATCTAACACTTTCCATTGCAAGAAAACCAAACCATTAATAATTTTCATCAAATTTAAAATAAAAAGAAAATGTCCTCTGAAGATGTACAGGGTTAGTTGAATTGACCCGGAATGGTTCAGAAAATTACAAAGTTTCCCCGAACTATAGTAAGTTTTCTCTTTTTTGCAAATAAAATCCATGTTTTATGGTAATAAAATCAACCGAACTTGAACCACAACAACAACGGGCTCTGGTTCCCAGATGGTCGAGACGCAATTAAAGTGTGTTTGTGACATCCTGAGTGGGATGGATGGAGGTTTGTTCTCACAGCAGCGAGGACGATTTAACTTTCAACCAATCTGCAGGCGCATCACGAAGCTCGTTAAGCTCCCTTCTGCTCAGCGCATTCTTCTTGTGTTTTCGGTGAAAACATAAACGCGAAAGAGTGATCTTACATTTTGGAATTTAGCTCCAAAGAGTTTTAGTTTTTAACAGCTTGGAAGAGTTTTTTTTCAACTCAGACTGATTTCTTATCCACTTTCTGCTGTTCTGCTCTCTTTCACCCGCATATAAAACATATCTCATCTGCTTTTGGCTGCTTCTTATCAGTCTCCCTGCAGGGCAACCAGATCCTCCACTTCCTGGCTTCATCTGTTCCCCGCTCTCCTCCTGTGAGAGGTCGTGCCCTGCCTTCCCTCCCATTCTCCCTGCAGCAGCAGCGCGGAGACTAACCTGCATGGCTTTCAGCTCAAACCTCGAAGGAGTTAGCAAAACAAAAACCAACAGCAAGTTCATGCAAAGTTATCAATAATGAAGAAGGAATATTTGATCTAATTAAGAGTAAATACAATATTACCTTCGGTGTGTTAGTATTACTTTAGTAGAGCGGCTGAAAGACAGCAGAAACCTTTGTAGTGTTTTGGATGGATGGATGGATGTTCAGATGGTTGGATGACTCAGACTGACCTTCCTGTTCGCAGCCCAGCAACTCCAGTCGGAGGCCGATGCCCTCTGTTGTTGCCCTCTCTGGGTAAATCCGGATGAACCGGGTCAGAAGCGGGCCGAGTGGCCTCATCTCCGGGGTTTCATGGTTCTGGTTCCCAATGAAGATCTAAAGAGAAACACAGAACCAGGTCAGGTTCTATAGCAGATCAGGTTCTACAACAGGTTCTACAGGCATTTAGTCGTTCATCATTCCTCAAGGTAGAGGCGACAACCAACAATCTATCAATCCATCATCCATCCGACCAATCAACCAATCAACCGACCCATCTATTGATCCAACTGTCCAACCGTCCAACCAACCAACCAACCAACCAACCAACGAACCAACCAACCAACCAACCAACCAACCAACCAACCAACCATTTCCTCAGAAACAGATGGATTCCCTGATATTTCCTATTTAGATATCTCCAGTTGCCCTATTGTCAGCTGAAGTTGTCCTGAAAACCTTTAAGCCAGTCAGAAACTGAATCTAAAGTCCAAACCATTCACTCCCTCTCATGTCAATGAGCAGCCGCTGATCTCAGAGCTGCTCCAAGATGGCGTCGCTTCTATCCAGAACCATCTTGTACGGTGTTTCATGTTTTGTCTTTTGCTTCAGTAACAACTCTTCCCCATCGCTCTAAGCTTTCCTTTTACCCAGAAGCAGCAACTTACATGCTGAGCGCCGCCCTGCCTGCCAGCTGAAATCAGAACAGTTTTAAATCAGCGTGAGTGAGCTGACCTTCGGCCTGGTGGTGTTCTCCTCCTTAATGACCGTCCAGGTTTCACCGTCCAGGCTGTGGCCGACCTTGAACCTCTTCATGTAAACGTTGCGGTCGTGGTGTTTTCCTCCCTGGATCACCACACCGCTCAGTATCTTGTCCTGGCCCAGATCCACCTGCAAGGAAGGAAATGTAATCATTACGATCTATTGTAGGATTATATGCATATAAAATACAACCTGACCCAGACCACATTGAATGTTGGTGTGTTCAAGTCACTTTAATTCACACACATTTAGATTTTCTTTTGCTGTTTTAGAAATGCAAACAAAAATATATTCAAGGTAACTAATTATGCTTCCTTGAACAGGTTAATGTTGGTCAGTATAGTATGAAGAAGATGAACTTTTCCATCATGTAGGTCATGACATGAATAATCTTCTCATTACAAAACATTTTTACAAAAATTGAGGAAGCCATTTCAAGCATTGTCATTTCCTTCAAGCCTTTCTAATGTGATTTTTCCAAAAAGGTACCAAAAATTCAGTTTGGTTTAGTGTTTGGACTTTTCTAGAAGCAGTTGAGACCTAAATGGCATTAAAAAAACTCAAAAATAGTTAATTTTACATAATAGATTCCCTTTAATCCACTTCATAAATTGTACAAATACTCATATCTCAGACCATTGAGAGGTTTTGCCAGGTAATCCAAGTCGGCTTAGCTGCAGACTCACCTGCAGCCACTCGTTCTTGAAGGGCTGCTTGGACTGCTGCCCGGTCCATCCCGACCTGCCCGTCAATAACCGGACGTTCTCGGCCACCCAGCCCCGGTCGGCGAAGGACGAAGCGTTGATCTGAGGATCAGAGATCAGCCCCGACACCATGCCTAACATCGACGAGCACGGGTAGTCTGAAAGACGGGACGGCAGAGAGAAGACAGAGGAAGCAGAGAACCGGGAATGTAAATACGGAACCAAAACTCAAAACTGATCAGGAAATTCCACAATGGATTCATTCAAATTGATGAAGTCGATTCAAACTCTACATATGATCTTTTAACAAGGTAACAAGCAATTCTTCTAAAATGGGTTTAAGTTGGTCAGAAAAAACTTTGATTAAAAGTTCAACCTTTATTTAGCTTAAATCATATTTTTAATGCTCATTCCCAGATATAGAAATAGTTTTCATGATCTGTTTTACTTTTTTATTGCTTATTGGAATATTTATACATTGTATCTTAGGATAATTTCTCATTTTCAGATGGTGTCAAATTGCAAATCCTTTTTTGAAATATCATTATTGCCTCTTCAAAATATGCAATATGTCGTTGGTTAGGAAATAAATGTCGATTTTTACACAAATTTGAAACAAGTTAGTATTTAATAAGACTTACATAAATACATTAACATGATTAAATATGATTTAGCAAAGCTTATAAATCCTAAGGAAAGTCCAATATTTTATCTGGCTGGTGCCAAACACTGTTAAGCTGGATATGATATAATAACTGTGAAAATAATCAAAATACAGTTAATTAATTTTACTTCAAAATATTTTCCGTAATATTTACACTTGTAGGAGTTACAACAACAATTCAACAAGGTAATTCAACTAGTTAGACCCTATAAATGTTGATTTGGCTGCAGAACCAGAGCTAAGGGTACAAAACGTCCTCTCTAGTGGAGAACAACTTAAATGTATGCATAGCCCGGTCCAGAGCAGCCAGATCTCCACCCAGCTGCATCAACTTCACAGACCTCCTTCTGAGAGTTTCACATCAGAGACGGGGAATAATGTCTGAGGATGATTAATGAGCCAGAATGATCCCGCACAGCTTTACTGTAATGAATAATTGTGTCCTTCATTTGGGAGGTTTCACTCACTTTGGAAGTAATAATTATTTAAAATCAACAGAACGCAGTTGGAGTGTAGCTACTCGAATGATAACAGAATAAGGTTGATACATGATGTGCAGAAAAACCAGCAAAATAAATGTTTATGGAAAAGTCAGACATGGAAAAACAAATCAAAACAAGCATGGATGTCAGTAAATGAGGAGAAACACACAGAATGAGGCTGAATCAGAGGATAAGCATGGACTTCTGCCTCACACCTGATATTCTGCAGCCGTAGACCTCAAAGCGCATGCAGATGCCTTGCTCCCAGGTAAGCGGGCGAATACGAACGAATCGGGTCAGAGTGGGTTTGGGGAGGAAGGCACGGACTTCGTCTGTTGGATTGTGGTTCCCCAGAAAGATCTGGAAATAACAAGAATAAAAAATAGTTTTTGTTGTTGTTGACGGACTCTTTATTGCTAAACGATCTTAGAAAACCAACTAAATATTGTGACAGAAAAAGTGTGAATTGAGCTGGTTATCATAAAGTGTTCAAAGGCTGCAGTTTAGTATGCTGGTAAGATACAAAGTATAAAATAAAAACGAGTTGGCTACCTAGCTAGCCATTTAGCTAGTTAGCATATTTCAAAGCTAGATATTAGCAGCTAATTAGCGGTAATCTGAAGTCACAGGAAGAAGTGAAGACTTAGATAAAATCAAAGATTAATAAAAGTATTTAAGGTCAACTTACATTTTTAAAAATTAACTTAAGATACACTCACAATAACAAGCTTCCCATGCAGTCTATAATTTTTTTTAACCATTTCCCAGGCCTGGATAAAAAAAAAAGTGGAAACATTTTCTGAAAATTTTTTTCAAATTCCAGACCTTATTTTTCTAGAAAGACAAAAATTTTCTAAAAACACTCTGTTGTTCAAATTAATCACTCTGTAAATGGCATATTTTATATTTCAGATTTTTGCATTTTAACCAACAATATTTATGTTTTTTTAGTTGCTTTCTGTCAATTCATTTGGTCTGCAAGAAAAGGTCACCAAATCTGTAAAACTGATATTTTGCGAAACAAAACAAATCCATCAAAAGAAGTAGAGAAGCATACTGGCCTGAGAGATACAAGCCTTTTCAAGGTAAATAGCAAAGATAATAACACGTATCCAGACAGTGAATTAAAACAGCTGATCTTTGCCTTTTGTTTGGAGCCCTCCTTCACGGTGATCCAGTCCTCTCCGTTGGTGCTCAGGTCCACTTTGTAGGAGCGGACGTAGTAATGCTTCTTGGTCTCCATTGAAATGGCTCCCTGGGTCCCGATGCTGGTGACGTACCTGAGGAAGCCCAGGTCGACCTGCAGACACAGAAAACTACAACAGGTCAGCAAAATGGCTTCCAGGAAGGTTCTGTTTAGGTCAGTAAACCCTGATACATGTCTCCTTGTTTTGTAAAGTTGATTCATTCCTCGTTTCAGCCTAGTTGTAGATTTATTTCTGGAATTACAAATTGTTTGCCAAAAATCTGCTTATTTGCGTTTTTTTTAAACTGAGCTTATCTAAAATATTTGAAAAAGAACACATATTGGGAAGCTAAAATACTTAGTCACGATCCGCTAATGCTAATTCTAATGCTAATACTAATGTTAGTAAACCAGCCAATCCAGGAGCGCCGTTTGTTTTCCTCGTCATTCATTGGTTCATTGACTATGCTGAGATTCATCCATAATTCAACAAATGGTTTAGTTTTACTAAACTAACTAACTGACTGACTAATGCAGCAAAAGTTTTTGTTTTTTTATACTTTGGTTAAATTTTAGGAGCAGAATTCTCCTAAAATTCTGCTGCAAACTGAAATTGTTAAAATTTCAGTTTTAAGAAATAAAAGACTGCTCTCCATGTGAACAATTTTGGCACTAATGGAAAAAGTTTGGACACCCCTGTGTTTTAAAGCACAAATAAAGTCACTATCTGATCGACATCACAAGACTCTTCAGACAGCCTTAAAATAGAAAAAAAAATTCAATTACAGTTGATTTGATTTACTGCAAGTCAGCTAAAGATGAACACAGTCAAACTCAATTACTTTTATATTTCTAATAGCAAATTGTGATCTTTTTTTCTGTCTAACATACTCAAAAAAAAAAAAAAAAAACGCGTCTCTTTATCTGTAAGTCTCAGTATCAGAATCACATTCCTTGGAAACAGTTTTCCTTTTATAATCATGAAACTGTGATCAGAGTAGATAAAATAAAAAGTGTGTGGAGTGTGAGTGCTGTTTAATCTGAAAAGGAGGCGGTTCAAACCGTCTTTACCAGAAAGAAACAGCGAATAGATTAATAAGCTGATTGTTATCAAAGAGTAGCAGAGATGGAAGAAGCCTTACAGTCTTTATGCTGTTAAAGGGGAAAAATTATGCAAAATTCACATGTTGAATGTTTTTGTACTTACTTTCTGCTGCTCATAAAAACAACCCAAGCTCTTAAAAATAAGTTAAAGGTTTTGGTGTCTAGAAAATGATTAAGTCATATTCACTGGCATTGCGTCATTACCTAGCAACCCTGGCCCCGTCACCTAGCAACCCCGGCCCCGTCACCTAGCAACCCCGGCCCCGTCACCTAGCAACCCCAGCTGAGCTCTACCATGTTTGAGCTGCTGGTTTTACCGTGTTTTGTTGTTGACTTATCATCCAGAAACCACTTGCGGCATTCTTGTTGGTTGTGCAGCAGGCTCCACTTCTGCTTTTCACATATGGATGGTCGTATAACTGTGCATCTTTTTGCAGCCATTTTCATATGAGTCCAAATGTTGAGTTTGGGGGCTTATTTAGACGCCCAAAAACACATCATTGAGCAGACTAAAATCTCAGTGTGTCACTCTTAAACCTCTCCAACTTGTTCAAGGAAGCATAATAGGTCACCTTTAACAATTAGCAGCCTATCTAAACTGAAAATGGTTTAAAGTTGTTCTGCATCACAGGATTTCCCTTTTAATAAACCAAGCAATCTATGATGCTACTCTCTGTTCGACTTCCATTACAATCTTGTTTGTTGAGTTTGAGCATTATGAGGCCAGAATAGGCGCTCTGCTTCAGCGTGTGGGACGACCGCCGCATGCAGCGTGTAATTATACGACCGAAGAGACGCTGCTCTACATGGGAAGGCCTCACAGGGCGGGTGTTGACTGCTCCTGCCGAAGCTTTTTCAGGAAAGAGCAGGAAATAGCACGCCACAGGTCTCTGCGGGATTCATGATTGACAGGGAGACCCCTGGGAAATCATGTTGCGTGGGATCGCTCTGCGCCGCTCCCACGTCTGTTCTCATCTAAATTCCCACGAGATGCAACACTTGTTTGCACTGAGCCCATATAAAAAGGTCACGTGTAGGAAAAATATCTGCATTGCTCATTAAAGACTAAACAAACGATGCCTTTTAAGTTAAATCATCTTTTATGATGTTCATTTGTAACTCATTCGCCTTCAAAGAGAAGTAAAATCAAGACATAATTTTCACTACATAGTCTGGAAGATTTGATTCGATTGGGAACAAAAACTGCAACCATATATATGTAGCCAGCATGACTAGCTATATAGGAGCTAGCAGATATTGCTAGAAATTGTTAGCTTGGCCATTTAAAATATTTGAAGTTAGTATTTGTATTTTCTCTTCTCACCATTTGATGTTTGGTCAGTTTTTTTAAAGGTCAAGCTGGAAGTTTGATGTGAAATTTACATGGAAAAGGAAACGAGAAATATTCACTGTCATATTTGTTGACAATGAAAGTTTGAGTCAAACATTTTGTTGGCTCAAACAAATCATGAACAACAATTTCAGTTAAAGGTTTTCACAACAGCTTTAGTCCAGTAGAGGAAGCTACACAGTAATTTTAGAGCATCTTCTACTCAAATTCACTTCTAAATTAATTAAACAAATCAACTGAATGGGAGTTTAAACAGCTGCAAATTGAAGGAGGAAGTAGGTCATACAGTCAGTTTCACATTTAAATACAAAACACATAAAAAAGTCAGAAAAACTTGATGTAATTATAGATGAAAACATTCATATTATCCAGGATTTAAAAGGAAAATGAGTTGATGATTAAGTTCAAATGCAGCAAAAGGAGGCAAACGCAGGAGATCCAGCCTCCAGAGATTAAAGTAAACAGCGCCGACTGACTGGGTTTTCCTTTTGAAATAGGAAAACTCTCAGTGTTTACAGTAATCCTTTGGCTCATTGTTCCATTTTCCACACTTTCTCCATCAACTGGCTGAAGGTAATTGGCCTTCCATCTCCTAATTGCTAAGCGCCTGGCACTGCCAACTATTTATACCAGAGAAATACTCTCACTTAGAACTTTTTAATGAAGGAAAACAAACTGCAAGACGGGAACATAACTCGTTTAAATTTGGCAAATTAGGATTAAACTTTAATGATGCCACAGCCTTCCAAATAAATAAAAACAAAACCCTTAATTACCCCATTCCTATCTGGGGGTTCAGCACTCGCTGAGTTTCTCTGTGTTTGTATTCAGTTACACCACGAATTGGACTTCAACAGTTTTTTTTTTGGTAATTAGTAATGGCATTATTTTTCATTAATATTCTCTAAGGTAAAGAAGCACTTTGGAGGCCTAAACAAAGTAAAATAAATTATGCACATGCCTCAATTATTAGTAAAATTTCTGTATTTAAATGGACCTGAAAAGGTTCCACTGGCCTATCTCAAATATTGTGATGTAGCATAGACATTTGAAAATTGGTACACAAAAATAACTCCAAAAGAAGAAAAAAAAAACTATCAGTCCCAAAAACAGTAATAGTCGGCCATTTTGTGTCAATGGTAGCTTGGTAAAAACCAGCCCCTGTTCTATTTGCCTTGTATTGCGGGTTTGGATGGTTGGTTACTGATAAATGATTGCTTCCTGGACTTTGTTGAAGTTTTAAATCTCATTTTAAAACTTCAACATTTGGCCGTGGTGTTTGTAACGACCAGCTTTGTTCACTTCCTCAGCTTACTGAAACTACAACTAGATTACAGACAACAATTCTAACACAGAAAATCAACATTTTTGATCCCAACTCATTGTTTGAATTCGACTGAAGAAATCAAACTGAATGGGAGAAATCCTAGATGGAAAAGTGAAGGGAGATGAAAATCAAGCAGAATTGCATAGAGGCTCTTTGGTTTTTTCATCCAAAATGGAGAGCAACTTAACCAGAAAGGTTTTGTTTCAGGAAGTATTTTCCTTGATGAACTTCAGGCTTTTTATGCATGAAGTTGTGAATGCACAAGGTTCTGTGCTTGGTCCAATGACCTTTACATATACTTAATTAATTAACCTGAATCAAAATTAAAGGTTTTTAAAGTAACTGCTAAACAATGTTAGCTCTCTGCAGGAACTTCATGCGTATTGTTTCCTGGAGCCCCGACGTTGACAATACACCTCAGGCAGACAAAGCCTGATGCGTTCTCCAGATGTAAACAACCCAGCGCTTCCTGATGACGTCAGTGCAATTCTACAGTCAAACCAGACGTCTCTAAAAATACCTGAAACTCAAGGAAGGAAGCATTTCCTGGTTCCGCATTGCTGCTCAAAAAACACTAGTCCAATTTTATTTTAAGAAACTTTATAATTGACTTTATTTATTGGTTCCATTGTTTGGATTATTTTGATTATTTAAAATATCTTCCAGTTCCAGCATTAAGTGTTCATTTAGCATTAATGAACAGTTTACAATTTAAAGTTTACTGATATTTGCGAATGTGTTCTTGCATTATCATTTCCATTGTACTAATTGAAAATGGTCTCAAAACAACAATATTATCATTTATTGTAATAACTTCTGGGACCATTTATAGTGCAGGAAAATTTGTTATTGCAACATCCCATCCAGTATTATTGGTTGAATATTGTTGAGTTTTAGCTTTTATTAGTACTTTCTTCATACTTTGGTTAATTTTTGGTATTGTATTGTGATTATGTTTACACTAATTGGATAATAGATACTCGACAGAAGATTAAATTATTGTTGGACAACAACTGACTCTGTACCAACTTTTACTGTCGCATTTCGAGACATATGGAGTCCCGTAATTTGCCGAAAACTGCTCGTGTTTGGGAAAAATAGTAATTTCACATCTAATTAATAGATTCAAAAACAAATAATATTATATCCATACTTTCATTGTGTTTAAGTTAATTTTATAACCCAAAATCATTCCAAGGACTGCAAGCGTACTAACATTTTAGTACACTTGAAATAAGACAAAACAAACTTACAAGTAACTTTTCAGAGAGAAATATGAGCTAAATTTCTTAATTTTGCAGAAAAAAGTGCTTGTTTCATTGGCAGATAATTTCATTTATAACAAGATATTTTTTCCATGTTATAAGTAAATAATCTGCCCGTAGAAATAGAAGATTTTCATGGAGTTATTGGCTTAAAACAAAATTCTATATCTTGCTGAAAAGTTACTTATAAGGTAGTTTTCTTATCTCAAATGTACTAAGATATTTGCAGTTGAAACTAGTCTAAAAATACCAGGTAAGGTTTTGCAGTGTTGTAATTTTCCCCCATTAAATAATATTGTATGTATTTCAGTTAAAATGTTCTCTAATTTTCAGTTTTCACTGGTTTTAGTTAACTGTAATAACATTGGTCTGATTATATTTGTTGAGATGAACCAAAGCTTCTGTGATTTTTAATGTCTAAACATAAGAGCTCAGGATTTTATTGCAAATTTGCAGCATGCAGTTGAAGTGAGTCACTGCTGTGAGAAATATGATTACAGAGTCACAATAAAGCCAGATAATGAGGCGACTGTCTGCCTCCAAGCAGACGGCCAGCAGGACGCTTCACCCAACAGTAACCTGAAAATAGTATCGATAAAATATACATGGCTGTAAATAATTAATAGAGCTGCCTGCAGTGGAGGGGACAGGCATGCAGGAATTAACCGAGTCATAATTTTCATCTTAAATAAGACGAATTCAAAGCCACAGGCGGAGAGATGCGGCGCGGAGCTGGATCGCAGCACACTTAATCAAATAAAATGGAAAATCCTCTTCATGAAAAACCTCCAGTCATTACTCTGGAGACTCAATGAGGCAGAGCAACAGGCCCGGTTCAGAGGGACATAAATCACACAGCCAGATGTAGCCGCGCCGCTGTTTCTTAAGGAGAAGCTGCCAGAAAGAGGCTTTCATGAACAGCAGAGATAAACAGAGCTGATTTCATGCAGCAATCAGGACGTGATTCCATTTTTCTAACAATAGGTTTGTAGATCTTGTGACCAGACAAACTGAATCCGAAGCTGGAGGGCAGGAAAACATTTTTTACCTCCTCTGCCGAACTGTGGATACAGTCAGAAAATAAACATTAAACTGAACGCTTCAGTCCTGGGGTTATGGTTCAGTTTGGGGAATCTGAACAGCATGTTAAAAAAAATCAAAGTAAAAATCAAGCGAAAATAAAATGGAAACATTGTTAGTTATGTTGCATTTCCAATTAAATATAATTAAAATGTATCGTATGAACAACATATGCAGTCAATATTTTCCCACGTCTCACATTTTAAGAACTGACCGAGTCCATAATTAACGTTTTCTTTAACCCGAACCGAGACTTTGTCGTCACCTGCTGTGAATGCACACTGGAGTTTAACACAACTATTTAAATAAAGTATAAATTAGAAACGGGAACAGGAAACAACCAGAGGGTCTAATGAATATCCACACAACTAACATTTCTGCTTAAACATTAATTGCTTTTGCAGAATGGCCCAGTTATTGATCCAAGTTTCTTTGTCAACTTTACCGTCTCATTAGTCATGTCCTCATTATTTCAGCACTTCAAAATAATTTTATTCACAATGGCCACATTTTTAATGCTGTTGGTGACCTTCATGTAAAATCAACGGTTTCCACCCAGCGCGTGAACCCATTAACCCCAATTAAATTTCCGTCCTTCATTTCCTGATATCCCAGGAGCCCCAGCGGTGAAACACGTCCCCAGACAGACAATAGAAAGCCACAGTTACTGTGGCGGCGTCCCTGTCTACTTCCTGTTGTAACTCTCACAGGAGGGAAGTGGAGGTCTGCTCCTGCAGCAGAGGGCATTGTGGGATTTCCTCTATGAGTTCCTGTCCTGGACAATGGGTTGGCGCTGGACCCCAGCCACACACGTCCATGCTGGTTTGATAATTCAGACTGAATCCAGTTGTTTTCTTGACCCACATGAGAATCAAACACGCTTGTTTGGGCTTGTAAATTGAATTATGGGTAACGAAGTTCATGTAAATATCTAAAGATTTGAGCAGCTGTGAATCACGGGGTTGAATCTGAATGAATTGTTTCTGCTTCCTGTAGTTTCAGCTTCATTTTCTCTAGAGAGGCTTTAAAAACAGAGAAACCTGTATTTACGCCATGTTTAACTCATGAACAACCTTGTTTAGTTTAAAAGCACAAGTTCACAGCTTCTGTCAACTGTGATTTCTGGAAAACAGACAAAATAAAATAAAATATATAAATAAACCAAAAGAGTTTAAGTTATTTCAAAAGTCTTGAGTCAACATAAGATTATGTTGAAGTCCATAATTAATGGACATTTTAATTTTCACTGACTCGAACAAGAACATCAAGTCATGATTGAACATACAAGCAGTTAGCATCGTTAGCTTCCAACCTACTTTGTAGCAAGGTTAGCTGCTACCTAAAGATTTGACTGTAAGACCAAAACTTACATAGTTGAAGATCAAATCACTTATTAACTTTTACTGTTACATTTATTCTCCATTATGACAAGAAAGAGCTCACCTGTGTAGCTGCTAGCCTGTGTTTACACGCAGCTAATTATTGCTAACAATGAAGTAAACATTTGCTGTAACCGAATAATTCACTAATTGGATATAATAGTTGGAGTTAAATCTGTTGACGTCTCCAACTAGGGCAAGAATGGTGATCTGAACAAGTCATATACATAATAAATGAATAAAAAAATATTAAAGATCTAACCATTAAGCTACATTTTAGCATACATAAAAGGCTAACAGCTAGCTAGACCAACATAATAAGTCTATATTTCAATAAACATTTGTTCCGCTCTGTATTTCCCACTAGCTCCAGTATCATGATTACATGTGGATGTATTTGGGTGTAAAAACAGTAGTAGCCTACATTTTAGTATCACTATGAACAACGCAGCTGCTCCATAAATCGATTTTAATACCCAAATGTACAGCATTAGATTTTCATTCTCTTATCTTTCTGTATTTAAATCTTAACTTTCACCTTTTCATTTCCCTAAAACAATTTCTAATTAATTGTAGTTGAATTTTTGGTTGTGTTTTCGTCCTGCATGTTTTCTCTGTGCATGCGTGGCTTCTCCCCAGGTATTCTGACTTCCTCCCACTTCCCAAATATATGCATGTTAGATTAATTAGTCTCTTTAAATTCGCCTCAGGCCTGAGTGTGTGTATGGGTGTTTGTCCTGTGTGTGTCGCCCTGTGGTAGCCTGGAGAAGCGTACAGGGTGTACCCGGTGCGGACAGGCGGCCAGTCGCCACATAAACATAATGAATGGATGGTTGGAGAGTTAAATGGAGATGCAGCCATGAGAATAACTAATGTAAGCGGACAGGAGAGCTCAAACTAGCACTGAAGATACTTTAGACGACGTGGAATTAAAGTTTATTTACTGTATTTGTTTACATTTTTAATATTGCTTATGATTTGTTTTGGTTTAAACATCTAAACTATGAAAATATTAATTGATTATCTTCTTTCAGGTTCTCGCTGCGGCTTTTTAACCTTTTAACCAAACCGCCTTAAAAACATAAAGTTGTCAAATTCAGTTTTTTCAGCCTTCATCAGTGTTCAGATGAGTAAATGTCGCCACTTTAAGCTATACACGAATGTTTTATAAATGTTTAAAGTCTACACTTAGTGGCTGCAGGTCACTACATCAGATTTCAGAATGACGGCAGGAAACTGTGTAGCAGAAGCAGATGTAAATAATTAATTCCTGTTGGCTTTTTTCCTCGCCTACCATCACTATAACGTCTGTAGGAGTGGTACAAATGAGTGAGCAATATTCAGAGCAGATGTGAGCGAGTTCTCTGTAACGCAGTGAAAGGCAAACAGAGGAGCAATGTTTTTCCGCTGGGAAATCAGAGGCTTTTATTTTGAGCTCAGACTCTGGAAGTGAGGATTAAAGTGACATAACCTCCAACTGCTTCACTTGGAAAAAACATCATGTGCTAAAAAAGGGCACAAACAGTGTGTTCAAAGCATGCAAAGCTTATCTATATGTTTCCAACTTAAAAACCACAGTTTGAAGCTACGACTGAAACGATTAATCGGATTAATTAGAAATCAAATATGCTTTATTGATCCCACAGGGACATTAAATGTCAGGTTAATAAAAGAGTTGGAGGTGGTGATGGAAAGCTCTTACAGCGGTCTGAATTTAAATTCTAGAGTAATTCAATTCTAGATTAATCACGATTAATCGATTATTAATAGAATCATCAACTGATTTAGTGACTGATTAATCGTTAACTGGAGTATACAGACTCAAAAATATATACATTTTGCATCTAAGATATGATATAATCCTTCTTTGTAGGTATATTCAACCCTGAACTCCTGAAGTAACAGTTTTAGCTTCACTTTCTGCAAATTCTGAAAAAATAAAACAAATTGAGTTGATATCCAATAAATAATGATCAGATTATTCATATCCTGCATTGATGTTGAATCAAGAGGAGCTTTTCTCTAGCATGTTTTAGCTGCAGGTGGATCTTTCGCTACAAATAATCAACCATTCACTAAAGGAAAGTTGCTGTTTCTGCATTTTTGGCAATAAAATGTTTATTTTCTTATTTCAAAAATAAGAAAATAAAATTGTACATTTGAACATTTTTACTTTTTAATAAATTTCTAATATTTTATAAAAAGGTTTAAGCGGTGCAATGACAAATACCCAAAATGTACCAATTTTTTTATTTGATTAATTGATTAATTGTCAGAATAGTGAAATTAGTCGTTAGTTGCAGCTTTATTTGAGACGATTATCAGGAGGTGTCTGACCTGAATCCATTCCCTGATGGTGTCGTCTGACGGCGTCCAGCCGTTCTCCTGGTAGTTGAGCCGGGAGCGTTCTGGGGACCAGTTGGAGTTATACTGGGAGGACGCCCTGATCAGGTCAGAGGGGATTTCCCCAGACTCCATGCCCAGCGGCTCCATGCAGGCAAAACCTGAGAAACACAGAGGGAGGCTATTACAATAAGCAAATAAACAAATAATTCAATTCAAGAAAAGAAACATTTTATTGCCTAAGATGTTATAAGAGGATTTCTTTAGCGAACGATTTACTGCTCTGAACATGTTGGTATTTCAGCAAAAAGCTTTTTTCGAGTCTGTATACACCAGGTTGCGATTAACTGATTACTAAATTAGCTGCTGATTATTTTAATCGTCGATTAATCATGATTAATCCGATTAATTGTTTCAGAACTAATCTATAATAACTGTCATTCCAGAAAATGGCCTTTTCTGAGTCTATATAGGGCAGTTAACGATTTATCAATTACTAAATTAGTTGATAACTATTTAAAAATCAATTACTCACGATTAATGTTTCAAAAAATTACCTTTTGTAACCTGTTAACAATTAAGAAGTTGATTAATGATTATTTCACGATTAATCATGATTAATCGTGTCAGATGTAATAGCTTTAATACTTTAATGTGGTGATTTTGACGAGTTTCTGCATGTTTATGTCTTTGCTTTGGATAATCTGACACTAAGTTTAAGAGAAAGCATGTCAAACTTTAAACAAATCTTTAAACGAGATGCAGCTCTGCATCTGAGTCTCTTCTGTCACAGCAGGAGAACCTTGGGAAGGAAAAGGGAGGAGAACACAAAAGGAAGTGTGAGTGTTTTTGAGCAGGAGAAAACAAGGTCTGCAAACCTGACACAAACACTTTGCATCAATTCCTGAGTTTCACAAACAAAACATGGGCAGAGGTTTGTCTCACCAAACTTGTTATTTTGGTAAATCGATATTTATCCGTCCCTTCCCTGTCCAATGCCGACATCCCAGAACAAAGAAATAAATCCTGCAGTCGCTTCAAAGTCCTCCAGTAAAATCAGTTTTGTTTGACGTGAATGTTTCCCCAGAGCGCAAATGTCAGACACCGTGGGACCCAACATTCCTGAACCGGGTCAGCGCCGGTGACAGCCAAAGGGTTAAAAGCGCCTTTTAGACCTCTGCAGGAATCCCAGCTATGCTGAAAACTGGCTTCTTCTGTCAGAGACCGGGAAAAATAAAATCCCCAGAAAGCAACTTTAACAGAATTGGAGATTCCTGATAAAGTCTGGTGTGAAATCGGTCAAACAGATTGCGCAGCAGCAGAAGATAAGAGCTGAAAATGGGTCAAAGCGATAAAATACGAGCCATCTGCTCCAGAAGGAAACTCTGCATTGAAATAACAATCTAAAAAGAATAAAAGGCGATTAAATTTAGATCTCACAACTGATATTTACATTTACAAACTGCGGCTACAGATTAATCTAAAAGTTGCTTCTTATGTTTTTACTGTTGCCTAAAGACTGAAGATGTTTTTGTTGATTTTCGGTATTTTTATTTTATTGTCTTGCTCTTTCGTTTTCTCACTTTCATTCTCTCTGGTCAAGTAAATTTTTCAGCTCAGTTGGTTGAAATTCTGACCAGTTTAACCTGATTTTTCACCAGTTTTACCACCATTAAATCCAGCTGTGCTTTGTTTCTGTAAAACTACTTTGTTTTATCCTTGTTAAACACGTTTTGGTTTATTTATTTACATGGAGTTTATATCAATCCATCTTACTAAAGCTGATTCAGGATCCTAAATAATTCCTGATGCTACTACTGGAATCGAATCCCTTTTTATTAGTAATTAACAGAAAACTGACTTGCAGTCATCATATAAAAGACATTCAGTGATGTTTTTATTGAGATATAAACTTTAAACAGCAGTTGTTTTTATTCCATTAATGAGTTGCATGACTTATTAATGATTTAAATACTAGCTAACGCTTCATTGCGTGCTCAGTTAGAGCTGGGAAATGTGTCAGGTTGCAGGAACAGAGGTGTTAAAGCAGGGAGTCAAAACAAATCACACATCATTAATGCAACCTGCAGGCTCCACTGGCTGAAAGTCTTTATTTACCAAGAACAAATGAACTCTGACCTGCCGTAAATGTTACTATTACGAGAACATTCATATGACATGCAGACATTTTGATTTTAGAGAGATTGTTAATAAATATTCAATGATGTTTGAACAATAGATAAAATTTTTTTAGCTTTTGTTTGTTAACCTACTTATTTGAAGATTTATAAACTGAATTTATCTGTACATCCTTACATCCTCTATCATTTGGTTCAATATCTGAGATAATGAATAAACCAAAAATGTTCATGTGAAAGAAAAATAAACCAGATAGACAAACAGACAATGGCATAGATAGCTAAAACAGCTATCTAATTAGCTACATGGCTAATTAGTTTGCTAGATAGACAAATAAACAGAAAGAATTACCTTGTTAAACAAATAGCCAGATAAATCAATCTATAACAATAATATATAGCAATATCAGCCCAAATTTTCATATCCTGCATAGCTAAATTTAAGAGTTTTGTTTACATTTTAAGCCCTTTTTAAAACAGAATAGAAATATTAAAGAAATAAAATCCCAGCATGAAGTCCAACATTATTGTAGTATTTAAGAAGCAATCTTTAACAATGCCTGTGGACAGTGTTGGCGTCTCACCGTCGTCCTGGAGCCCAGCGGGCGGCTCCCTCTCCCGGATGGTGTAGTTGGCCGTGAAGCCCTCCTTGGCGATGGCGCTGTCAGTGGTGATGGTCATGGACAGGATGCCCGTGTGGGAGATGATCCGACCCGGCGACTTGTGGCCGCAGTACCTGCCGATGTGAGGACCCACTGAGGAAGAGGAAGAGCAGTCAGCTTCATCAGCACTTTCCATCTTATTAACACCATCTTACATTTTCATACGGCTGCAAACGCCGCATGTTTGTTAGCTTCCATTTATAAGAGGGGAAGTTTTGTCAAGAATTGTTGGGATTAAACAAAATCAGGTTTCGAAACAGTTTACATGTTAGGAACTGTATTTCTAACATGTTTTATGGATTTTGTTGTGACTTTTTGTTGAGTTGTGGATTTTGTTGACCCATTTTTTCATTTTGGCTTTGCTCTATTTTCACACTTTGATTACTTCATCATTTCTTATGTTTCTACAAATTAAATACAGCTTTTAAAACTAATTAGAGAAAAGGCAATTTTAATATCACAAAGTAGCATTAATATTGTTATAAATGACCAACTTTATGTTCCTACTCTGGAACTGTCTCGTTAAATGAACTGCAGCCATTTTTTTTAGATTTCTCTCCATATTGCAATTCCTTGACAAATGGGGAGCTGGTAATTAAGTGTCATTAATTATCTGGAAGCGTACCGAGTGAAAAATCAATACCTTTTTCATGAAGTAACAAATGCATTCGGTTCTTCTTATGAATACCAAAGTAAATTGGTGAAAGTAATTCTGCTGTGCAGCAGGCAGATCGTTTTAAACCGAGATAAACACAAAAACTGATGTTAGCATTTGTTATTCAGGGAATTAACCCGTCGGGAAAATAAATATCTAAAAGTGAGGAGAAATTTCTTCTTTCATTAAAAGCACGGAGAGACATGCCGTTTCATATCTAATGACATTTAGAGTCCCCAGCTGGTCACACATTTTAGCTTTTTTCTTATCTCCAACTCTCAAAAATGAAGCTTGTGGTGCTGCCTGGTGGAGATACTGTATCTCCTCCTACATGATACAAAAATATATTCTTTTAATTCAGCTCAGAGATAAAAAGCTAAAAAAAAGAAGAGAGACATGAAGCACTTGCACAGGAATGCTGAGCTGCAGTAATCTGATGGATTAGCTTTATCAGTTACAGTCTGAAGAAGGTAGTCGGCGATCTGTGACGGATTACGTTTGGAGCCATTTCAGCCGCATCGCAGGACGTGCGAAATGGTTTTTACTCCAAAGCCGTCGGCTGATGAAATCACACCTAAAATAAGGAGGAGGAATAGAATCCTGCAGGCAACGTGGAGCCTGGCAAAAACTGGATGGAGTGAGAAGAAGAAACTAAATCTGAGCGTTTTTAGTAACAGTAATGGAGCATAAAAACTTGACGTTGAACTACAGTTCAAATAAACTGTATCTATATAGATATTTGTATTATATGAGCCAAAGAAAAAACAGCTGTCAGCCATTGTACAGATCAGAGACCTGAAACCGGCAGAATGCATAACGGGGCTTGGCTTAGCTGGGGCTACGTGGTGACAATTTGTTACATTTGGATTTGTTGATTGTGTGCATTTGCAGATTTGTGAAAAACTGGAGGGACTAACTGATGTAATTTAGAGTCTAAAGGGCCACATGAAAAGCTGTGGGGGCCGAATTTGGCCCCCGGGCCTCGAGTTTGACACATGCTTTAAATCAAGGCTAAAACCCGTGTCTTTAGAGTTGATTCATAATAAATGGAACATTAAGCCATATTTAATGCGAATTTGACGAAATGTAATGATGCTTTATGTTTTAAAGCTCTTTGAACTGCCTCACTGCTGAAATGTGCCATAGAAATAAACTGATCTAAAGAAAACCTTGGAAGCTGCCGATGTCTGTAAGACTGATTAAGTTGACTGAATTTTAATTAAAGAGAGCAAGTTGAAAGAAAATGGGATCAATGCATGTTGGAGTGAACCCTCCTGCAGAGACGCTCCCTTATCTTCCCTGACAAACACGTTTGGCTCAATCAAACCCACAAACGCTCTTGAGCACAGATGCACCTGAACGCACCAACACGGTTCGCTTGACGGTTGGCGCCGCTTTAAAGTGCGTGTCAGTTTCTGTGTACCTGAGCCAGTCCCTCATGTTCCCGAGCCAGGAATCGGGGAAAAAAGGCTCTCTGGGCGCTGCGGGCCAGGCGCCCGGCCCAGGTTTGCAGCTCTGCAGATTATCGGCTAATTAGGCAACAATGGAGGCAGAGACGAGCCGTCCAAGCTGGAGGAGGGGCAGTGTGAACAGGTTGCGTCTCCGTCTTTCATGTGGTGGTTTTCCATTCGCGGTTGGTGAAGGAACAATGAGCGAGCTGCGTGGGAGTCTCCCCTCCGCTGTCAGTACATCCAGATGCCATTTGTGCAAAGAAGAATTGGTTTGAAGTCAAACGGGACGATCATTACCTGCTGGATGATTCTGTTTATTACTCATTTTATCAGCTCCACTGAGTCGGAGCTCCTATTTAGTCCCATTTAATCAAACTTTAGTCCATTTGCCCTGATCAGGGGTGTCCAAACTTTTTGCCATTAGTGCCAAAATGTTCAATTGAGAGCAGTCTTTATTTCTTAAAACGTTTGTTCTTTTTATGTCTTCAGTCATATACTAAATAGAAAAGTCGTCTAATTTTTGTAGAAAAGGAATCTGCAAATCTGCTGCTGCTTTTAATAACATTTTGGGGATTCATTGCATTTTAAAATTATTTTTTAAACATTATTTAAAGAAAAATACTTTGTCTTGTGTCTAAATAAATAAATGTTTTAATAAGATTTTATTTGTCTGTAGGAGTTAAATTAATTGGTTCACTTGAGATAAGACAAAACTAACTTACAAGTAATTTTTAGCAAGATGTGATACATTTTTAGGTAAGTAATTCCTTAATATTCACTGAAAAAAAACAAAAAAAACTTGTTCCATTCATACATTATGTCACTTATAATATGTAAAAAATGTTTGGTTGGCAAAAAGTGAAATAATCTGCCAGAGAATATTCATTTTCCATAAATATTGAGCAAATATTCACTTTGAAACAAACTCACATTAGTTCGAAATGAATAAATGTCAAAGAGAATCTAATTAATGTATGTTTGTAGTTTAAACTCTCTGAATTTGTGATTTTCATCTCATTAACGGAGCGTCCGGTTCTGGTTCCTCACCGGCGGGGAAGCCGTCCCAAACCTCCAGCCAGTCGTAGCGGCAGACGGCGCCGGCCGGAGGCGTGGTGTCGGGCTCCATGTTGAAGCTGAAGAACTCCACCGTGATCTCCGCCATCTTGGGGGCGAATATCATGAAGGTGCACTCCAGGTTGTTGGGGTATTTCTCTGGAAAACCAGGCGTCTCGATGACGCCGCTGGGAGCCGTGAAGTTCCTGGAGCATTCTGGACCTGAAGGCGACACAGATGAGGAGTCAGAACTCATCCAAAGCTGAAATGTTCAGAAATAAAACCAGTTCAGTGAATTTGAAAATTTTCATTAAAACTTCAGTATGTAACTTTTACAAAACATATATATATATTTTACATGTTTGTATTACGAAAAGTCAATCTGGGGAACTAGCTGGAAACTAACTAGAAACAACCAATCAGAGCCAGGAGGCGGATCTTAGCGCTGTCAGTAACAATCTTCCTCCCTCCCCTTTGCTCTGTGCTAAGCTGCAGCTAGCATGGCTCAATTTGAATGCTGAGGCTAGTTAGCATAGCTACCAATGACAGCGGATAAACGGTTTTCCTGTAACTGTGGGTTGTTTCTTCCCTATTAGCACTTTTAGCTGCGTGTACATGAGATTGATTGACACCGCTAAGACCCTCCTCCTTGCTCTGATTTGTTGTTGGGGACAGCAATAGTAGCTCTGGGAGAAGAGACATTTGCTTATTTGCTGACAAGCATCCAAAGTATTAAATATTGGTAAATACAAATGCAACCATAATCAATATAAAACTTATTTTAAAAATATGTACATAAATGTGGTATTTTAAGAAATCTAAATGTGACTAATTGTAAAATAAATATATGAAATATATACATAAATAGGCAAATTAATAAGAATGCACATTGAATTTTTATTAATCTATAAATAAATCAATAATTGAAAAGATAAATATGAGAAACAAGACAGAAAAACATTCAAAACTGTTTTTTTTTTTTTAATCTCCTGAGAGAAATGGTCGGTTAAATATCTGTAAATATCAGCCACATGTAAATCTAGTAAATGTTTAACCTCACCGACGTTTTCAATGAATATTGTTCATTTCTCTCCATGGAAAAGCTAAAGCTCCATATTTTATGTTCATTCTTTTTGAAAAATATTCAGATTTTGCTGATTTCTGTCTGCTCTGAAACTCGTTTTTGCTTGAAAGTCAAAGTTTTATTCCTCCAAACCAACAACTTCCTTCCTGTTGGTCAGATCGGGATATTTAACAGTTTTCCCAACAGATCTGTGGCTCGCCAAATGACTTTCAGTAAATCTGCAGAAGGCAGCTGTGTTTTATCACTGTGTGTCCATTCACGCTTTTACTCAACTCTCTGAAGAAAAAGAAAATGGTTCAGAAACGTTTCATGGTTGTTTTTAGCTTGGCTGGCCACTAAAATAGATCCTGTTTGTTCTGAGATACACAAAGACTCCCAAAGACATTTAAAAGTCATTAAAGCTACAAATTCTGCAAATTTAAGTCATTAGATGATAGAAAAGACAAACAAAAACATGTAAAACATGGAGGATAATCAAAAGCAGAAAAGTTCTGCTTTTGATGTCACCCAGAGAAACGACACATCTGATGTCTGGAAAATATCTTTAGCTTGATCTTTTAAAATCTTCTAAAACACAGACCTTTTAAAGAATAAACTCAGAATCAAAGAAAAGAAACCCAAAAGGTGCAGAACAGAGACTCTTTGTTCTGATACATGCTAAAAACAGATAAAAATAAATCAGCTCCTGCAGAGAAACAGTTTTTTATCTGCTAAATTCTCCACCAGAGAAACTAAATTTATCTCATATGTAGAAAAACTCTTAAAACAGAAAGTCAACATGAAGAGTCAGATCAGGTCATATTGCAGAAATGCTGCATGGTTCATTATATAATTCAATAGATCTTAGACAAGGGGTGTTCAAAGTGCGGCCCGTGTGCCATTTGTAGCCCTTGGACTGATTTTGTCTGGCCCCCCACTGTCATTCAGAAATTATAAAAATTTGGCCAACAGATGCAGATGGAGACTTTTGATTTGTAATCAGGGTAAAGTGATAATTCATAGCATTGTTGAAGTTTTGCCATGTGGGCCAAATTGTTGACTCAAAATAATCATGGGTGGAAAAAAAACAAAAAACAAAACCCATCATAAAATCAAATAAAGTAACTGGATGTTTATTCTAGAGCAAAAACTTGAAAGGAATTTTTCTGAAGGTGTTTAGGACCTTTGCAGATGGAGAAAAGTGAATAAATTTCAGCCAAAACCTCAGAAATTTTGACTGAAATTTACAACTTACTACTTTAATTTTGCAGATTTACTGAACTAAAAGATATTTAGTTTTCAGTTTCTTCTGGACTCGATTGAATAAATTTATTTTCAATAATAAGAACAATATTTGGGTCACTTTGTTTCAAAATTTTTGCAATATTTAAGTTTAAAAACAAACAACAGGTTTGTTTTTAAACAAAATTAGAACTAAAAAGACAAATAATTTGTGTTGTACTTTATGTTTTTCTGTGTAAGAAAATTATGTTGGTAACAATTTTTAAGTCTCCACCTGCAGGCCAAATTTGTATAATTTTTTAATTGGAGTTGGGGCCACACAAAATCAGTCCAAGAACCACAAATGGCCCCCGAACCGCACTTTGAACACCCCTGGTGTAGTTCTTATAAACTGCTATCAAACCTGTGTTTACAAAATTAGCTGTTCTGATCAAAAAATAATGGATGAACAGGTAAACAGAAGCAGCAGCCATTTTTCTTTTTTTTTTCTAGAAGCCTGCGTCGCCTCTCATCCGTCATCGGCGCCGGCGGCTCGACGTGAGCGATGTCACGAGACAGAGAGCGACGTTGGGGAAACGGCGTCGACACGAGGCGCGTTTGAGGGCGAAGCATCGCTCCGAGGCAGAGGCTGTGTGTGTGAAAGTTACCGTGTTGGAGGAGGAAAAGGAGCGTTTCTCATGTTGCCAGGTCCAGATGTGACACGAAGCGAGACGCACGCACATGCACAAACACGCACACACACACACACACCTCTGAGGACCCCTTGCTGTTGACACAGGTGGCGTCATTAATGGGTGACATGATAAATGATGAGAAGGGACAGGAGGTGAAGCAAGTTTCGATTTGGAGAGAGAGTCTGAGAAACACGCAGCTGGGGCCGAGAAAGGAGGGAAAATCAGCATGGATTTGACAATCCAAACATTTTAAAAGATCAATTTTACACAAAAAAAAACAAATAAATATGATATAAGAATTTAAAGCTGCAGCGTGTAGCTTTTAAAAAACCTCACATGTGATTTTCCAGCAACATAGAAGAGCTTGTTTTAAGTTAATAAGTCCTTAATATTGGTGAGACAGTACCAGGTCCATTGCACCGTTACCTAGCACCCAAGTTCTAGTACCACTGGCCGTGTAACACGATCTGCCACAGAAACTATCACTTTTCAGTCACTATTAATTAATCATTCACTTAAAACAAGTTCCTATGTCTTGCTGAAAAGTTACTTTGAAGTTAAAATATTTGAATTGGGAAAAAAGTATATTTCCACTAACAACTAGACCAAAAATACTTTTGTTTCTACAATGTAGACCGCATTAAAGCTGCAGAATGCAACTTTTACAAAACTTACAAGTAACTTTTAAGCAAAATCTTATATTATATTAATAAATTATCAGATCATATATTGTAACTTTATCACCAGCTAATAAAAACTTTCAGCACCATCCCTTATTTTGATTATAAGAAAACGTGTAATAGTTTGTACTAATCACATCAAATCGTATTTATTCCCATGGTTCTTATGGTTTTTTTCTTGAAAATGGTCTCAAAGCAACAATGTTACTGTTTATCACAATTTACCACGCAACAAATGTTGTTATTGTGACAGGCCTAGATGACGCCATTCAATCAGCAATGGCTTTAATACAGTATAATCTCACAAAAAACAGAGACATGTGTTTTTGGTTAAAAACCAACATCAAATGTAGAGCTGGGACCAATATAGTCCCAGTACGATGGGGAGAAATGTCCCACTTGGCCATCATTTCTAAATGAAATCTTCGCTGTGGTCAGAAGAAAGGGTGGAGCGACACAACCCATCGCTGCTGCAAAACGTTCATTACCGCCATCTTTAAGTGCAGCGGAGCGTGTCGTCTGGACGGGCATCGCCGCGCTTCAGGCTGTGTTTAGGGGTTTTCATGTCGTAATAACAGGCAGGGAGGTGAGGGCTGGAGCCACAAACTAATGCACAGAAATGCAGAAAGGAAGGTGGGGAACGATTGCAACACGACTCACTTCTGGTTCTGGTTTTTAGAAACCGGCTGTAAATCAGGAAGAAACGGTTTTCTGCATCCACAACTATCCAAGCAACTTCCTCATGCTGCGGTTTGCTTTTTGTGATGGTGAAGCAACACCAAACTTCCAGTGTTAACTCAGCTCAGCACGACCACAATGACTTCATTATGAACGATTAAACGAACATTGACTGTGTTTTTGAAGCATTTTCATCTCCTCAATGCAAAGAAGCAACAAATAAATGAATAAGTGAGTCCAGACAGAGTTTACTGTCACATCACCATTATTCCCAAAGGTCTTTTGGTTGAAAAAAGAGATTTAAAGTAAATATTTATAGATTTTAGGAGGCCTTTTTAACCAAGAGGGCAGCAAAAGTAAATCTTTTATGAATGCATTTCACAATGAAAGTGCTATAATTTGTTACTTACATTATATATTTTTTCTAATTGGATGTATAATTTCGTCAGAATAAATAATTCAAAATCTGGATTTGATTCACTGAATTTAAATGGAAGAATTTTCCTGAAATCCATTAAACTCGATTCCTTTGAACTGACTCCTAATTTGACTAATTCATACAAAGAGTTGGACGCAATTCAGCTCAATTTTAGCTTAGCATTTTTGCTAACTTTGAAAGTTTGAAAACTTTTAATTTAGCTTCCCATAAATTATGTTTTTCAGGCAAATTATAAAACACTAATTTACTTTATTCAGGGTTAAAATCTGAATGAACTGCAAAAATAGAAACATTTGTTCTGCCTATAACTGAATTAAAATTATACAGTTGAATCTAAAAATACAAAATGGTAGAATAAATTTGATTTGTATTAAATTGGATAATAATTTTAGTTCCTAATTTAAATATTTTGGATCCAACATTAATTACCCTGAAATAATAAACATTTTCTATGAAACTAATTTGATGCTTTGGATCCATTTACACAAGAAATACTTAACTGTAATGAATTGAATTTGAATGATAATATGTTGGACTGAAACTAATATATTTTGAAATTTTTTTATTAGATTTAAGTCAGAATCTGATTTTATTTGAAAATTTGGATTTTGAAATTTACTAAAACTGCAACCTCCTATTGGTTTGGTTGTATATTGGAACTATATAAACATATTTATTTGTTGTTTTAAACATCCAAAACCAGACAAATTTCAGACAGAAACAACTCAAATTACCAAAATGAAACAGGAACTCGGCCAAAACTATGGCTCCATATGTAGGTTAAACAGGCAAAAATTAACTAAACTCATGTTTTTTCAGTAATCTTTTGATGGGCCTTAGTGGCACCACTGGGTTTTCTGTTCAGAATAACATCCCAGATCAAAAGACAAATCAGAACGAGAATCACAAAGCCACAGAGAGAGAAAGCTGGCGGCCCGGACTGAATTTAAAGCCTATTTGTAAGCAGAGCAGCGGCTCCATTTAGCAGCCGGTTACAGTTTGCTGCTCCGGCTGTAATGGATTTTAAATGTGGCGAGAAGAAAAGGCAGCAGCATGGCAGGGGGATTACCTGAGTGAGAACAAGTGCTGTTTTTAACTTGTTAGGAGGTGGAGGACCCATATTGAGGCCAACACACACACACACACACACACACACACGCACACGCACACACACACACACACACACACACACACACACACACACACACACACACACGCACACACACACGGAAACACACACACACATACACACACACACACACAGACGGAAACACACACTTGTGTCCCAGTTTCAGAGCTGTTTCTCTATGCCACAGCATCCGTCTCATCTGCAGGTCACCCCTGTTGCCTCCAAGGACAAACAGCCCATTAGCTAAATGAGCCCGAGGTCCGACACACCTGTCTGTTACTCAGACACAAAGGGATAAAGAACAAATGCAAACAGAAACTAAAGCACCAGGCGGAAAACAGAGCAGGACACTCATGTTAGCATCGATAAATCCTGCAGCTTGTTGCTGCTGTAAAAGATTTTTATGGTATTATTATTAAGGCTGGACAATAAATCAATGACAATATATATCGTAATAGACATAAATAACACATCTGATAAAAATTCAATATTCAATGGACAGAACGTTCACTGAACTGCACAGCATTCTGGGAGACATAGGCAGAGGAAAGGCTTTAGCTGCTCAACCTTTAACGGCGAGCTAACCAAAGTTGGTAGCATCAATTCACTCACTCTTTGGTTACCTAGCAGCAACCTGTTGAGTAACTAGCGCTGCAGCGGTTTCAGGTTTCCCTGCCGCCCCTCATAACTGCTTAAAAACAAACTTGAAAACTGTGGATGAAACTGCAACCAGTTTGGCAGGATTTCAATAAACTAATCAATACTCATCAATATCGACTGATATGAAACTCTTATATAGTGATATGTCCAGCTTACTCGTCATAACTGTAAGGTTTATTCTTCCAATACATTTCATCTCTTTTCTCCTCACTTTTATTGCTACATAAGTTACGTTGCGGTTTCCAGTTTGTGGTTACCATAGCAACCAGTATGTAATAATAAGGAAAAAAAAAACTTGCAAGTAACTTTCCAGCAAAATAAAGGAGCTTGTTTTAAGTCAGTTAATATATTTTGGTGTCTGGAAAACGAGCCATTTAAAAAACTTTCCCAGTGTAACGTAGCAACCCCAGTCAAGCAGAGCCTGTTGCCTAGCAACCCAAGCAAAGCTCCAGCACATTTGGTCAGCTGGTTTTACAGCTGCGCTGTACAATGGCTGCTGGCAGAGACAAGTGTTTCGTTTTTGAATTACCATCCAGAAACCACTTGCTGCATTCTTGTTCATTGTGAAGAAGGCTCTATTAATGCTTTTCAAAGATGTACTGTTGTATAATTGTGCATCTGTTTGCAGAAATCTTCACGTGTGAGTGTAAATGTTGAGTTAGGTTTGTGGCCAGCAGCAGCAGTTTATTTGGGTTTAAAGTGACAGATGGCCTAAAACAGCTCATTCTGAACTAAGCAGACTAAAATCTCATTATCTGAGAAGGATTTTGTGCAAAAAAAGATGTAATGACCTGTTCAGGGAAGCCTAATAGGTCACCGATATACATTATCAGCATGTCTCTAATTCAGGGATCAAATATCTACCTTGGTCTCCAAGCAGTGATTGATCGAAGCTAAAGCTAATAAGCCCTGTGTATGAACGCCTCCCTACAAATCTGCATTTACAGAACTGTAACCCAGACTTTCTAATGTCATCCTGACCTCCATCAGTCCGAACGCCGCTGTGCAGAAATTTTTTTTCAGTTCACAGAACAGTAAAGCATAATGAGGCGCGACTCCCAAAATACCCACATAGGAACAGACGAGGACCTGCCTATCTGTTTATCACAGCAATCTGTAACCTGCATTCGCAGGGGATTGTTATTTCTGGGAGACACATGAACGCTTGTTGCTCTCTGGGGAGCAAACATTAGAAAAATGAGGAGGACTCTCATGCAAGCTCCGTTTTCACCTGATTTATGTGTCCAGCCTCCCCCTTGGAGTGAAAAATGAAGTAGCCACAGGAGATTCTCTGTTAGCGGAGGCTCAAATAAAGCCAGGAGGGAAGAGAAAATACAAATGTAGGACAGAGGGATCGGGGTTCTTCCCAGCGCTGGAAGTGTTTATGTAGGTCTATCCTGATACGCCCTGCTCCACCGGGACTCCACTGTTTAGCTGGCGGTACAAAGGTCAGTGTACCAGAGGCTCCGCTCTGACCAAGGACGTCAAACAGAAAGATATTTATAAACCACGCTTTCTCACATTGGTAAAAACAGAACCAGAAGTTTCCCATTTCAAATAACAACTGGTATCGGCTTTTGCTGCTTCAGAGATCATCAATGAGTAAATGTCTTAAAAAGGTCTCCCTTAGTTTGATAAAATAAGAGTTAAAAAGCAATAGGCCTTCGCAGCGCTTAGCTGCTCGGGTCTAATAATCAGTTTAAACCAACAGTTTTCTGTCCACCAGATGGAAGCACACCAATTCATTTATTCATGTCAAAATTCACCTGATAATTGGATGGAAGGTACTGGTGGATTAAATCTTCAACTTCCTGTCAGTTTGACAGCTGGGCGAAACGTGAACACTGCTTGATGCTTCAGAAGTTCGCTGATCACAAACATGGATCAAAATATAGGAAAAAGCAGCCACTTCCTAAAGTCTAGACTTCAACATTGGTGAAAATGTGATTATTACCTAGAAAAACTGGATCTGAACCAAGAAACCATCAAGATTTAGCTTGGAAATGACAAACAAAACATCTGTGATTGAGGTAGAGTTTGCCAAGTGACACTTAACCCAATATTGTGGGTCTGTGTGCATATTTGAGTCTGTTTGTAAAGATTTATGATAAACAATAGTGAATAAATTACATAGAGAGGGAAAGGGTCTTGTTTCAGTTGGGTGATTTAATCTAGATGTGAACAAAAGCAATATTTTGAGTTGCTTTTATCCATCATGAGAATGTTTTCATTACAATCACGGCTTGGCTGGTACACTATAATCTGAGCTGTCATTGACATAAAGCTGTGAATAGTAAAACATGCAGTGTGAATGAAGGATGGGCGAACAATAAAGCAAAGGGAACCAATGTTTTACAGATGAAGCTATTATTGACGTGTATCTGATGCCAGTAAAAATACATCTGAGACCTAATATTGAAAAATTAGAGCATCTTACTGAAAGATATTCACAGAAGTCAAAACTATGAGACAAATAGGGGTATTTCTGTTCCATCCGGCCTTTTTCTGCTGTATTTCCTAATTTATCTAAATGTAAGGGTTAGAAATTACAACTAAAACTCTTTAAAGTCACAAAAAAGAAAATGTTTTGAGTTAATCATCTTCTGCTGCTTTAAGGAGGGATTGCTACCAAACAGTCGACCACTTTAAGGTTATTTATCTACCTAATAGGAATCCAAAGGTGACGTAATAAAAACTAAGCTACCTGTCTTGAAGACCTCGTATCGGACTGAGAATCCCGCTCCGTGGGTTTCGTAGTCGGAGACGAACTTGATGAGGAGCTGGTCGCCGCTCGAGATGATCGGCGACGGCGCGATTTTCCCGCAAAACTTCCCCACCATGGACGAAGCCTCTTCTACGCCGCCGTTGTAGACTTCCAGATAGTCATACCTTTAGGAGGAAAAAAGATATTTCAATTAAAAACATGACACAAAACATTTCACACCTCCAGAAAAACACAGACATAGATCAATAAAGACGTGAATGTAGAGCTGGGCGAAATGGTGGAAAAATATATTATAATAACAGGATTACACAATACATACTGGTGTTTATTTATTGTCCAGCTCTGCATCAATGATAAAAAAATAAAACCATTTCTGTTGATAATTTCCATGTAAAATAAAAACTTAAAACTATCATTAAACAAAGTAGTTTCTTTTATATATACACCCCGTTCACAGATGAAAGAAAAACAATTGGCTGTGTGTGTGTGTGTGTCTCTGCTCCACACACACCGATAAGAAAATATCAGCTCTTGCTCAAGTGAGCAAATGAAAAGCATATTAGGAAGATAACGGTATAAACAGAGTTGGAGGGGATGAGCGAGAGAACATGGAGTTCCTCTTTCTCAAAGCGAGGAAGGAAGAACAAGGCAGAGATAGCAGCAATGTGAAGAAAATTATTCCCACCGTGAAGTTTTATCTGTCTTTGCTGTCTGTGAGTGGACCTACTACCACCTTTACCAACAACGCTGTTTCTTTATCAGCATGTATCTCACGTTTACAGAAAATTCTCTGCAATATCTGGTCATAAGCTAATATTACCACCTTGTTTGTTGTTGTTTGTGCAGATTTTTCAGCCAAAATGTGTTTTTACTAGATTTAAATCACCTAAACTATGATTTATTATGATTTAATATCCAAAAGTAAATACTATAAAAATGCAGTGATTGTATATTTGGTAGATATAGGCTTTGAAAGATGCTTCTTAAAATAAAAAGTCAAAAGTATTGTGAAGTTTCTTGATCTCTGATAAATTTCTGATAAAAATGAATTGAAGCAGAATCAGTTTTCAGCTCAAGTGAAAAACTGTCACTAAAGGCTGACCACTATCATGCTAAATGTTAACACTAGTCAAGCTAACAGCTAGTTCTTGTTAAACATGTAATCGGTGTAACTAGGTAACTCTAGTCCAAGTAAAGGTAACTGCCAATTGGAGTCAAACTAAGTAGCAATAAGAGATGAGGCTAACAGCTAATCAGAGTTAAAGAAAAAAACAGCTACTGAACGTCAAGCTAACAGCAGATCAAAATTAAAATGACAGCTAATCAAAATAAAGCTAAAGACTAGTCAACAATTCATGTCACACTCAGTTTTTTAGCATAAAGTTAGCAGTTACTCATGCTCAAGCTAAGTCCATCTTACTTAAGCTAAAAGCTAAACAAGACTAGATAGCAATTAACTAACAATTAATCATAGTCAGTCTAGCTTTAAATCAAGCAAATCTCTGGGTAGAAAACATGCTAACAGCTATGTAGACAAGCTAACAGCTAATCAGTATCGAGGTAACAGTTTGTCATTGTTAAGCTAACCACCACTTAAGGGTGACAATAGCAGCAAATCATAGTTAAGCCCACAGTTATTAGTTTGTAGCTAAAGAACAATAAACATCAGAAGTAGTGTCATTCCCTCTGGAACCTGCATTTTGCTAAAACAGAGAGAAGCTAAAAGCTAATTCTAGCCAAGCTGATCAGAATTGAGCTGAAAGTCCATCAAGGTCAAGCAAAGAGCTTATCATAATTAGCTAATTAGAATCATGCTAACAGCCATAACTAAAATAATTGTAAATGACAGTCAAGCTATCAGGTAGACATGATAAAGTTCATAGCTAATAATCCTATAGCTAATGGCTAATTAGTGTCAAGCTGAAAAGAAAAACACATTAGGAGAACGTGATGTCCAGTGGCATCTGCAACCCAGACTGGTTCCATTACACTAAAGTGGGAGCGATAACTGGATTCCAGATGATAAGATAATGTTATCAAAAGCATTAGGATTGCTAAAAAAACTAATAAGACAGAGAAAAAATATCAAGATTACCATTGATCAGCATTAAGCTATAAACCCATAATGCAACAGCAGACCAGAAAATATCCTGCGAACACTCTGGCTTTTTACCTGCAGAGTAATGAATAAATTATACATTTTCAACAGTTTAAATACAATTCCTTCAAGATTGGAGAATGTAGTGCAGTAAAACAATGTTGACTTTTTAAAGAAAGATATTTAAAGCCAAAAAAACTGCCACATGATTTATAAACTATGTGATATTAATGGACAACAGACACAATAACAAGGTTTACTGGTTATTGAACTCCATGTTACAATAGAGCCACAAATTGTAAATAATAATAAAGGTGAAATTCTTCAAAGTGGAACAAAATAAACCAAGAATTCACAAATGTATTTATTTTTTCTAAATCAGAAATGAAAGCTGAAATGTGTGACACCAGAAGCTGCTCCAGAACTAAGACTTCACACTTTGGGCTCACCCTTTTAAGACCGAGATTGACCTTTAACCTCTTCGACAAGAAGCAGGGTAGAATATCAAAATATTTCCTCAGCTTGAAGGTTTCAGGCTCTCGGGTAAAAAACCAGAGAATTAAAGGAACGTGTGACTAATGAGGCCAATTTATGAGGAAACACCAAATCTGGAGCCAGAATTTATTATTTTTTTGTTCCACAAAAACTTTAAAACAAATAAATAAATTATTCATTTTATACCAAAATGGTGTGAAAATAGCAAGTATTTTCTTTCAAACTCCATTAGAAAACAAATAGCTAATTATGGTATGGTAAAAGATTTTTAATGCTCTAAAAGTGGGTAATTCTGTCAGCTTCGCTTTCAGTTTCTAGCATCACGCATTCTGAGGTGAGTCTACATCAGTGTTTTTTCAAGGGAAACAAATGTAATACCATAAGTGTTTTCATTTTAACTGTTTCATTATAACTTTTGATTTCTGTGATTAAATCTTTTTTATGTAATTTCTGAGCTCCTCAGGCAGAAAACTGGAAAAAGACCAAAGGAACAAAACACTGTTTGGTTAATATAAAATATTTTATATATTCTGACAATCAAAAGGGGCAATTGTGCTGAAAAATAATATTATCTGGTAATAAACTCATAATAATTTAAGATGAATAAATTTAATAATTATCAAAACTTCATAATTAATTGTTCATGTTTCTATTAATCATTTATTTTAGATATTTAAAATGTCTTCCAGGTTCAGTGTTAAATGTTCATTAGTATTTAAAGTTTATTCATCTTTAAGTATGTGTTCTCATGGCATTGTTATCAGTATTTTACTTTACGATGGTCTCAAAACAATATTATTGATTATCACAATAACTTCTGGGACAATTTATCGTCCAGTAAAATCTGTTATTGTGACAGACCTCACAATGCAAGAACACATTCTCAAAGATCAATAAACTTTAAATGCAAAGGGACTTTTAACACTGAAAGTCATTTAAATATTCAAAGTAAATAAAATTAATTATGATGTCTCAAACTGAAGACTTTTGTCATCCACTTTTTGGTTGAAAGTTGTTTAGTTTGTTTAAATTTATCACGTGATTAATTGACTTATAGCAGCAAGTTATTTATTTATGAGTAAAGTATCAAACAGAGTTAAGGTTAAGCCTGTAAACCAGTGTCTGTTAGACAACTCAGGGCATAAACATGTAAAAATGGGTAAACATGCGCCGCAGGAGAATGAAATCGGCTCATTTTCTGCTTCTGCGTTTGGTTCCTGTTGTGTCTGCTTTAAAGCCCCCGGTGAGAAATGGATTTACACGCTCAGCTGTAAAGCGTTAGCGTTGACGGCCATGTTTAGGTGATTTCATTCATAGGTTCCAGACTTCTCATCCCTCTCCTCCAGCTTCTCGTAAAGTACGACCGGTAAGGAGGGAGAGGCGTGATCAGCGGCATGCAGATGGCTGCACTCACTCAGTCAGGCGGTGTTTACACAGACAGGCCGTTTAATGAAGTGGCTCTGTCTCTTCACTCTCTAGTTAAGGAGAGGCTTTCAGTCCGCAACCCCTTACATCTCCCCATTAACCACAGAGTCTGTTCATGCCCTGCAAAGGCAGCTGTCCGTAGAAAATGCCTTGCTCCAGGGGGGAAAAGTCATCCTTCCATCTGGAAGCCCAGGACAGATGCTTAATTTAACATTTTATGCTATTTACTAGCCTCTCTTCCTCACAGTGAGCAACAGACGCAATTTGGACGTTATAAAGTTGTTGTGAGTGACGCTAACACTAGAAAATATTTAAAACTCATTCATCAAGTAGAAATTTTGTTTAAACTCCAGGTAGTATAAACAATTTTCGCTCTGATAAAGAAGTGTACCCTAAAACAACTCAGCTGATTGATTAAGCTAACAGGTAATCGTATTCAAGTTAGCTGCTGAGTCAAGCTACCAACGGATCACGTTCAATTCAAGTTCAAAAATATTTTATTGATATAAAAGGGAAATCAAAGCTAGCCAAAAACAAAATATTCAGGCTAATAGCTAATCTGAGGAAAACTAGAGTAGATTGAAGCTAAAAGCCAGACACGCGAACTTAACCCAAATTAGAGACAAGCTAACAGCTAATTACACTCAAGCTAAGATCTATTCAGTCTCGAGCAGTTAAACCACTCAAGCTAATTCTTAATTACAGACAAGCTAATAGCTAATTGCTCTCATGCAAACATCTAAACAGTCAAGCTAATCTGTAATTAAAGACAAACTAATCAGTCAAGTTTATCTGTATAGCACATTACTGCAACAAGGTAGTTCAAAGTGCTTAACCACTAATTAGAGACGAGCTAAAAGCTAATTAGACTCAAGCTAACATCTGAACTGTTATGATAATCCCAAATTAGAAGCTAAGGTATCCTCATACTCAAGCTAATTCCTAATTAAATACAGGCTACCAGCTAATTAAACTCAAGCTAACAGTTAAACATTTAAGTCAACCTCTAAATAGATTACAGCTACCTGAGTCAAACTAACAACTAATCATAAGTGAGATAACCATTAATAATTTTCCACCAGTCAATTACTTGTCCTCAAACTACCAACTGAATTGTTCAACCCGTAGTTAGCTTCAAAGTTTAAC